GGAATACTCACTGTTTTGCTGATTGCAATGGAGCTTTGCTCTCTCATTTACTGAGAAATCCCATTACAAGCACAGAACAAAACTATCACTATATGAACAGTGAGCAGAGCGTGATAATAGTTTCTCTTGGTCAGACCCGTGTCTGCATGCAGAAACCCATCACCGTGCTTAAGAGTATCCAAACCAAGCTGAGATTTCCATGTCTCCCACCTACACATGGAAATCCCAGAGATAGATTGTTGGAATGGAATACGCTCTCTCTCCCTTGGAGGGACGCATCCTGTTTACCTAATTCTGGAAAGAATTAGGGGCAGGTTGGCAAGAGCTAAGGTTTGGGGACCATTGAGTGTGCATTAAGGTACTGCTGGAGACGAAACAGGTAAAATTGCTTAGCTTGCCATGGACAGCACTGTCTGCCAAGCTTTCCCGCTGCTTGTCCAGCTTGGACCACCCTACCCATCAGGGCTTCGGCTTGCAGGGTGAGAGAGGAGCTGAGTGGGATGATTTCCTGCCCCCAGTTACTGGTCTGCCCTTCCAGGTCCCACTGATGAGCCAGACTGGCTGTGCTGTAATCAGCAGTGTCCTGGAATACTGCGGACCTCCTGGCTCAGAAACCGGACGACCCATACCGCCACAAATCATTGTCAAGCGTAGTGATTGTTTTTGCAGTCAAACACACACATTTTACAAGGTCCTATAAACAGGCATGGAGGAATGTTGGCCAGGGCAGCGGAAAAAGCTGTCAACAACAATAATAATAATGATAATAATCCTTGCATTTGATATAGCACCTTATCACGTTGTCGAGATGCCTCAAAGCGCTTGTTCACCCGATCCACAACTGTTTGTGGGAGACTGCTGTGTGCAATTGGCTGCCACGCTCCGCCCATAAAATACACAGTCAATTGACTTCATGGCATATTCTGTGAAGCGCTTTGAGACGTCTCAACAATGTGATAAGGCGCTATATCAAATGCAAGGTTAATAATATTACATGGTGTAGAGGAGAGACGTGTTCTTGAATAGCATTCCTTACCAGTTCCTCTATTATAAGTTCTGTAGCCGCTGGCATGACAACGGTTGACACTACCTGCCAACATATTAGATCCGTGGGTAAGAGACCAGACAGCTCAGAGCTGACAAAGCTTATTCTAAATCATAGCCTGCTCGTGTTACACCCACACAGAGTAAAGCAACGGGTTTACAGTCCCACCATTATTGTTCGACTTGGCCTGGTTTGAATAAGAAACAATTTATTATCATCAACTTCTTTCAAATGGGGTGAATGTAAAATTCCCTCCTAAACCACACCGCGAGGCAATCATGCAAGGGAGCGTCCACCATCCTTTATTCAACAACTCACATGGATTTGGCATTGCAGATTTATCCCACCTGTTAATCTTGGATCACTTATTCACCGTGGATTTTGACACTCAAGTCATCCTCCGAAACCATCTCCGATAGCCTTAACTCCATACCTTGCAGCCTGGCGCAGTGGTAGTACTCTTGCCTTTGAGTCAGAAAGCTCTGGGTTCAAGCCCCACGTTGGGACAACAGCAGCCAATTGTGTACAGCAATATCTCACAAACAGTCATGGAGTGAGTGACCAATTTTATTTGGGAGATTGTGGCCAATTTTGGGGGATTGTGGGGAGAAACTCCCTTCTCTTTTTGAATAGTGCCCTGGGATCTTTAACATCTACCTGAACAGGCAGACGGGACTCAATTTAAAGTCTCATCCGAAGGACGGCACCTCCAACAATACACTGACTTGGAGGATTAGTTTAGACTATGTGATTCCAAGTCCCAAGAAAAAGCGAGTGTCCCTCTCCCGGTATCCTGGCCAACAATCCCTCAAATAGAAATTGGTTGCTCACCTCATGGCTATTTGTGGGAGATGACTGCTACGTTTCACTCACAAAAATACAAGATGAGATGACCATAGACGGAAAGTTCATGCGACATGAAAATCTCATTCAAATTAAGACTCTCGTAGCACAGGAGAAGCTCACACAATGGAGGAACCTGGTGAAAACAATAAAAGATTGTAGACACAATAAAAGATGTACCAAGAATTAGAAACGGCAGAACAGGCTGGATGGGATGTGATGTATGGCCTCCCACTCTTCCCCATTCCTGTTTGCCTATGACCCTGTACATAATAATAATAATAATAATCCTTGCATTAGATGTAGCACTTCATTGAGATGTCTCCAAGCACTTCACAGAATACATTGTTAAGTGGATTGACTGTGTATCTTGTGGGTGAAACCCCCACAAAATAACCCAAGTAGCAGACTGGCCACCGAAAAGGTTTGGGATTTTCAGGTAAAATGGGGATTCACCTTGTCGGGGTTCCCCTTGTCGGGGCGACTTATTTGACCCTCAACTATCCTTCCTACCCCACATTCGCACCATGACCCGCTCTGCTTTCCCCCACCTCTGCAACGTCGCCCGGCTCCGCCACTGTCTCACACCGCAGGCCGCAAGACCCTCATTCACGTCTTCATTACATCGAGGCTCGACTATGCAAACTCATTGCTTGTCGGCCTCCCCAACTCCTCCCTTCACAGGCTGCAGATCATCCAGAATTCTGCAGCCCGTGTCCTCTCCCGCACCAGGCTCCTCGACCCTATCACCCCCATCTTTACCCGACTCCACTGGCTTCCCATCACACAGAGGATACAGTTCAACATCCTTGTCCTCACCTTCAAAGCCTTCCGTGGTCTTGCTCTCCCCTACCTCTGCGACCTCCTAACCTGCTACCATCCTGCCCGTTCCTTCTGCTCAGCGGGCTCCGGCCTGCTTCACGTCCCCTTGCCCGCCCCACCATTGCCTTCAGCCACTCTGCTACCGCCCTCAGGAACTCCATCCCATAGTCCCTCCTCCTCACCTCCTCCCTTGCCTCCTTCAAGACCCATCTCAAGACCCTCCTCTTCGACCATGCTTTTGATCACCCTACTCAGCCCCTGCCCTCCACCCTCCCCAGTCCCAACCCCCAGCTCGGGTCCGAAACTCTGACTGTCGAGTGCCTTGGGACGTCCTCAATTCACCCACAAAATATACACTCAATTCACTTTACAGTATATTCTGTGAAGCGCTTTGAGACACGAGAAGGCACGACATCAAATGCAAGGATCATTATTTTTAATCACAGGAATCAGTCACAACAACAGATTGCATTTATACAGTGCCTTTCACATCAAGAGGACATCCCAAAGTCGCTTCACTCTGGAAATTTCTAGATTTCCTATATATAACAATAATTTGCATTTATATAGCGCTCTTCATTTGGAGTAGAGTCCTGGAGCACTTAGGTTAGTGTAGGTAAGTAAGTAGGTAGATAGGTAGGAAGGTGGGTGGGTACGTAAATAGATAGGTAGTCCACTTAGCTGGGTAGTCCATCCCTGCAACCCAGGTGAAGCATTCAGTGAGAACATATCCGTGATATCTTTTCCTGCTCTATAATACGTGGAACAGGCTAAACAGGCTCCGTATTTGATTTCCCATGGCCACAATTCAAACATTGAAACAGATCAATCATTCCAGTAACATTCTTTTTGCGTCGCCCACAAATTACACCGTCAATTCACTTTGCAATATACTCTGTGAAAGCACTGTGAGACCTCTCAACGACGTGATAAGGCACTATATCAAATGCACTATTATTATTATTAATCTCAGGCATCCAGACAACACACACACACACAAATACACACACACACACTTACAAATTCGCAGGACAACTGGGGCGTTGCCAAATACTTGCATCTTTACTGAAAAATGTTATCACTCTACATGGGCTGGGCTGGGAGTGACTGACTCTCTCAAACCAGAAATGAGGAAAGGAAAGAATGAACGAACAAACACTCCTTAATATATATCTATATATGTAATCCTTGCATTTGATATAACGACCTTATCACGTTGTTGAAACGTCTCAAAGTGCTTCACAAAATATACTGTAAAGTGAATTGACTGTATGGTTTGTGGGCGAAACACGGAAGCCCATTACACACAGCAGTGTCCCACAAACAATCGTTTGAGTGACCGCATTTTTTTTTGGAAGGGATTATTACCCCCGGATCCACCAATTGACTAACAACAGGGTTCCTACTTACTTAACGCTGGGTAAACAGAGGTGTGTGGGTTAAGGAAACTTACTCAAGGTTTCATCCTGCCCGGGAATCAAACCCAGGTCCTCTCGCTTGTGCTAACCAGTCCGCTACACGACTCCACTTCTTACCCCCTGACAGACACTTGAGTAGTCTCTCTCTCTCTCTCTCTCTCTCTAGGCTCCACTTTCCTACTGCAAAATACCGTTCTCACTACTAAACCGTTTGCAAAAAGGTAAAGGAGGGTGTGTCAGGGAGGGAGAGGGTGTCAGGTGATTTGGAAGCAAATATTCCCTTCGTACAGGAGACTATGAGGTCGAGGGAATTAAAATTCGGTGCAACATTAAAGTGTAACAACTTTGTTCAGCGAACTCACATTACTCCCACGTTTCTAACCCACTACAGAAGAATGTGATGCATTCCTGTACCATTAACACAAACTGAAAGAAAGAAAAGGGAAAATGATAACATTAAAATCGATCAAAGTAAAACCACTTTAGGAGAGAGCGAGAGACTTGTGCTAATGCTTTTCACTCACTCTTTTCATGATGTTATTTATTTTAATGTATATATATATATATAAAAAACACACACTGACTTAGATCAGACACTGGTGAGCTGCATCCTTTCCGTTTTTGTGTCATTAAAACACGTTAGGAAACACATTCAAAACGATTCAATCATTTCAGTAATAATTTGTGGCATAAAAGAAAATGTGAACCATTCCAAAAGATGCAATCGTTTCAGGAACAATCTCAGGTTAAAATGTGTGTTGGCTGGAAAGACAAACACAAAACATGGGTGGAATAGGCTGACACACACACACACAAACACACACAAGTCTAACTAGTTATACGCCCAACATTTTTTGTTTAACTCCAAAGGCACCACCAGGACAGACAGTGAATGAGTGAGTGAGTGAGTGAGTGTGCAATGGATTAGGAAGTCTCACTCTGAGAGCTATTTATTTGACTGTGTGTGTGAGCCTCTGTGAGAGGTTTTATTTGTGTGTCTGTGTTTGTGTGTGTTTTGGGAACGTGGCTGGCTGTTTCCCAGAGATGTGATGGGGACATAACCCAAAGGAGTGAAGGAAATTCTGCTGCTTTGAGACAGAGAAAGAGAGAGAGGCGATCCGTGATGGCTAGTCACAACTCGTGGTCATCTGCCAGCTTCAACCACTCTGACTTGTCCTACCAACAGATCCACCAGGTGAGTGAGTGCCCCTCACCAGTTGCTGATACCTCTCCCTGGCACAGGATGGCCAGAAAGTTCAAATCCTTTTGTAGCCCAAAGTCACCCAAATACTCGCCTTCGTATTAGCCGGATGATATGTTTCCCTCCATGGGGTGACACACTGACCAATTTTAGGTTAGTGCTTCTGAAACTGTGTAAGAAAATAATAATAATAATAATCCCTCCAAAACCCAAAACAATAATAAATTGGTCATTTTCAATCTACGACTGTTTGTGGGACATTGCTGTGCGCAATTGGCTGCCGCGTTCGCCCACAAATATACTTTGCAGTGTGTTCTGCGAAGCACTTTGGGACGTCCTCCCGACGTGAAAAGCGCTATCTCAAATGCAAGGATTTTAAAATGTCTTCAAAGGGAAGGAAAAATGATTTGGTAGGCTCCTTGTTTCTGTTGATCAGCCAGGGGTCTGACACATGCGGAAACCCGTCACCGTGCTTAAGAGAATCCAAACTAAACTGAGACTCCATGCATCCTACCTATACATCGACTATGAAAATGTCTTGCTTATCAGCCTCCCCAACTCCTCCCTCCACAGAACTCTGCAGCCCGTGTCCTCTCCCGCACCAAACTCCGTGACCCTATCACCCCCCATCCTCGCCCAACTCCACTGGCTTCCCATCACTCAGAGGATACAGTTCAAGACCCTGGTTCTCACCTTCAGAGCCCTCCATGGTCTTGCTCCCCACTGTCCCTGCGACTTCCTAACCCCCTGGAATCCTGCTCACTCCCTCCACTAAGTGGGCTCCGGCCTGCTTCACATCCTCCACCTCGTTCGCCACACTATTGGCGGGCGGACGTTCTGCCACTCTCCCCCCGCCCTCTGGAACTCCATCACGCTTTCCCTCCGCCTCACCCTCTCCCTCACCACCTTCAAGAGTCATCTCAAGACCTTCCTCTTCTTTCGATCTCACTGCATCCCCTTCTGCCCTCCACCCTCCCCGACCCCAACCCCAGCTCGGGTCCATAACTCTGTCTATCCAGCACCTTGAGACGTGCTCCCGATGTGAAAGACACTTTACAAATGTAATTTTGTTGTTGTTGTTGTACACATGGAAATTCCAGAGATAGATTGTTGGAATGGAATGCACCCTCTCTCCCTGGAGGGGCTCTGGCCTCCTGCATGTCCCTCATGCCCTCCGTTGCACCATTGGTGGATGGGCTTTCAGCCACTACACCCGAAACTCTGGAATGCTCTTCCTCTATCCCTCTGCCTTGCCCCTTCTTTCCCCATCTTCAGGTCACACTCCTATTCAACTGTGCTTACGGTCAACTCCCCCCCTCCTTCTCCTCCTCCGCCTGGCTCAACATCATGCTCCACCACTGACAAGCGCTCTGGGACACTACCCTTCATGAGGGGCGCTATATAAATGCAAGTTGGTGTTGTTCAGGAACGCATCCTGCTTAGCTAATTCCGGAAACAACAACTTGCATTTATATAATGCCCTTCACATAGGGCAGCATCTCAGAGCACGTATTAGGTGCAAGTTGGCAAGAGCCAAGGCTTGGGGACCCCAGAGTGTACATCAGAGTACTGCCAAAACCACATAACATGGCATCAATATCGCTGTCTTGAAAATGTCCCACTGCTTGTCTAGCTAGGACCTCCCTATCTGAAAGGGTTAACAGGAGGATTTCCTGCGCAGCCCCCAGTGACTTGTCTGCCCTTGAAAATCCTGCTGATGAGAGACGTTTCAATTTTTTAAAACAGTTTTTTTTTCGTGCGCAAAATGAAAAAAACTCATGTAAACGTTGCCTGACTGGCAAAGTTCCTACTGTGGGGGGTGGGGAGGGGAGGGGGTGGGTGGGGAAGGTCTCAGAGTGTTGAACTTCAGCGATCTGCATGAGTTGCTGAGCCATGAAAGAAAACGGTGAAAAAATATTGAAAGTTTTTTTTAAAGCTCGTCGGGCATAATAGTGTCTTGTCAGCCCTGGCTCAATTGGTAGCACTCCCTCTCCCTCTGAGTCATTTTAATAATAATCATAATTATTATTATTTTTAAGGGATTATTATCCCAGAGAGGAATCCACCAATTGACTAACAACCGGGTTCCTACTTACTGCTCAGTAAACAGAGGCATGAGGAATAAGAAACTTGCCTAAGGTTTCTCCCCGCCCGGGAATCAAACCCAATTCCAATCACTTACAAGGCGAGTGTATTTTTGGATTAGATCTTGTTCAGGTCGACGTTAAAAAATCCCGTGGCATTATTGGAAAAATGGAAGCGAAATTAGGCTTAGTTGGGGAAGGGCAGGAGGAGGCACCGGCATAGACCAGTTGGACTGAAGGGCTGTTTCTGTGCTGTATATTCTAATGTATTCTAATGTATCGTGAAGTATTTAGAGGCAGTGAATTGGTCACGATTGGTGTCACCGATAAACAATGGTTGTTAATGTTCTTGAAGCTGGCAGGGCCATAGCAACATGCATTTGAGACCAATCAATAAACCATTAACAGCACAATCTCTAAAGACATCAAACCTCCTCACAACAAACAGAAAATACACAACACAAGCCATCAAATATGTTCAGGTGGACATTAAAGATGATGATAATAATAATAATCCTTGCATTTGATATAGCCCCTTATCACATTGTTGAGACATCCTGGATTTAGTGACCAAATTATTACTTAGTGTTTTAAAGGGCTTATTAAATCCGGAAAGCGATCTACCAGTTGACTAACAACGGGATCCTACTTACTTCTAGGTAAACAGAGGTGTGTGGAGTAACGAAACTTGTCCAAGTTTTCATGCTGATATTTGAAAAGAGAAGGGAGTTTCTTGCTGTGTCCTTGCCAACAATCTCCAGATATGAAAACAATCATTCCTTTCACGGCTGTTTGTGGGCCATTGCTGTATGCAAATTAATTGCCACATTCGCCCACCAAACACACAGAGATTACACTTTAGAGTATATATCCCGTGAAGCGCTTTTAGAGGTCTTCCTGACATGAAAGGCATTATACTAAATGTATTTTTTTTATATGTAAAGTTGAAGCAAATGCAGCAAAGATTCACATAACTGTTGACGTGAAACATCTCCTGACAGACATGGAAAGTTCAGGTGATTACACACCCAGAGACCCGGAACAAATTTTATTCACAGAAACACAAACACTCCTCAAACAGCCAGCCCAAAGGGAAGTCTGACTGACCTTATCCAGTACAAACAATCCCTTGTCAAACAACACTGAGCACAAGTCAGAGCACACAGTAAATCCTCCCAAGACACTCAAAGCCAGCAAACAAATTTCATACGAACAATGTCACTGGTGCAAGACACAACAAGGTAACAAAAAATAACTGGACGTTTCTTCCTGGAATTTTCGGTAGGTCTTCGGCTCAAAAGTGCCTTTAACAACAACAACAACATTTGCATTTCTATAGAACCCCTCATGCAGGGCAGCGTCTCAGAGCGCTTGACAGTGACAGAGCACACCTCCGAGCTGGGGGGGAAGAGGAAGATCTTCAGGCGTGACCTGAAGATGGGGAAGGAGGGGGCAAGATGATGGGATAGAGGGAGAGTGCTCCAGAGTTTCAGAGCGTAGTGGCTCAAAGCCCAGCCACCAATGGTGGAACGGAGGGCACAAGGGACAAGCAGGAGGCCGGAGCCAGTCGAGCGGAGGCAGCGGGTTGTGGGTTGGTGGAGTAAGCAGGTTGGAAGGTAGGGAGATGCCAGGGTGTGAAGGAATTTGAAGACGAGTGTGAGAATGTTCAAATCGATCCGTTCGGTGATAGGGAGCCAGTGGAGCCTGGCAAGAACTGGTGTGATGGGGGTATCAGAACATTGGACCATGGAACAGGGGAAAGCAATTTGTCCCATTGAGCCTGCTGCACTATTAGATCCATTGGGACTCTCTCTAATTTGAATTTTTTCTATATACCTGAATATCCTTATTTTCCAAGAATGTGTCCTATTTGGCTTATAGATTTCCCAGTCATCTGTGGAGCTATTAGGTGTTTCAACAGTGTTTAACAGTCACCTGAACAGGGAGTCAGACATGCTTCTTTCATCTGGAAGACAGCACCGGTGACAATGCAGAACTCCAGTACTGTCAGTTTGGACAATGAGCTTAAGTCCCAATGTTGGATTTGAACAACAACAACTTGCAGTCATATGTAAGCACTCATTATGTGGGGTATCGTCTTACAACACTGAACTGTTAAAGTAAAGATAATAATAATAATAATAATAATAATAATAAACCTTGCATTTAATTCAGTGGAGTCCTGCAGCTCAGTGGTTAGAGCACTCACATCGCAATGTTTGTGGGACACGGCTGTGTGCAATTGGCCGCCGTGTTTTGCCCACAAAATATACAGTCAATCCACTTTACAGTATATTCTGTCAAGCGCTTTGAGACGTCTCAATGACGTGTTAAGGCGCTATATCAAATTCAAGGAATGTTATTATTATTAATAAAAGGAAGCAAGTTAATGGAACATATCAAAAGACAGAGCTCAGGGGCAGACCATGCTGTACGCTCCTCACAGAGACCTGACTGCAAATTGAAAGTCAAAGTAATAACTTAAGGCAATCTGACTCCAATCATTCACTCACAGCCTCCAGATGGTATGAGGCTTCACACCACAGTCAGTTGACTGCACCGCATTTACTCAAGACAAAGTAGAGCTAAACAGCCAGCGTAAGCATTCAGAGTTCTGAACAGACTGGTCTTTGCATAAAAATAGTTTTATGATGCACTTGTCCTGTACATTTCAAGGGCACCATAAATTGTTCTTGATCAGAGTGACTCGCATCCAAAGTAGATAATAATAATAATAATAATAATCCTCGCATTTGATATAGGGCTTTATCATGTTGTTGAGATGTCCAAAAGCGCTTCACAGATATATATTGTAAAGTCTAGTGACTGTGTATTTTGTGGGTGAAAGGGGGCAGCCAATTGTGCTCAGCAGTGTCCCACAAACAGTCGTGGAGTGAGTGACCAAATTATTATTTTTTTAAGGGATTATTACTCCCAGAAAGTGATCCACCAATCGAGTACCAACTGGGTTCCTACTTACTGCTAGGTAAGCAAAGGCGTGTGGAGTAAGGAAACTTGCCTAAGGTTTCACCCAACTCAGGAATCGAACGTGAGTGCTCTCACTTGTGAGGCGAGTGCTCTAACCACTAAGCTACAGGACTCATTGTTATGCGCTCCGAGACACTAAAAGGTGCTTTATAAATACAAGTGTTGGTGGTGGAGTGGGGGGGGGGGTATGGGGGGTGATCCTGAAAAGATGAGATCAAACATGCTACATGTGAAACCCTCTTGTCAACTTTTTCCTACTGTAGCCAATTTCTTCAATCTTCCATTTGTTTACAAGGTGTGTATCAAACGTATCCTTTTAACAAGTAATCCTTTCCGTGAAGAAGTTATATTTGCAAAGGTTAAGTGTGGGTGGAGTTGTTTGATTTCTTTGCCGTGTTTGTTAAGACCTGGGTGTTTCCAGGAAACCGAGTCAGACAGGAGAAGGGAATGCATTGTTGTGTGAGCATCAGAAGTGAATATTTCAAGTGCAAAATCAGTAGAATATGTTTTCCCGGCAACAATGGGGTAAAAATAATGGCAGAGGCCGTGTTCCTGATACCTGGAGCGGATGGTTTCAAGAACACTGCGATTAGGTAGCCTCAGGTGGTAGCATTCTCGTCTCTGAGTCAGAACATTGTGGGTTCGAGTCCGGGCTCACAGACCAACACAGGGCAGGATATCTACTACATTGCCATAAATGTGCGAATCTTCTCATTGTACTAAGCAAAAGCCCCCGGGGGGGGGGGGAATTTTGGACATTTAAATAAAACTTGAAAATTACCAAAAAATAAATTTGGAAAAATGAAACAGAGAAAAACAGAAGCCTTAGATATGACGTTACACCAAGGTCCCGTCTGCCTGTTCAGGTGGATATTAAAGATCCCGTGACATTATTCGAAAAGAGAAGCGAGTTTTTCTTGGCTACATATCCCCCAAATATATCCCCCAAATAAAACTAGAAATTGGTCATTCACTGGAACACTGGTTGTCGCGATTCGCCAATAAAATATTTAGTCAATTGACTGTATATTTTGTAGGTCAAATACACCTTTCAGTATATTCTATGAAGCGGAAACTGGTTGTCGAGCTCTCCTACAAAATACACAGTCACTGCATAGCACAGTAAAATCCATGAAGCGCTTTGAGACATTTCGACGACCAAAATCAACAAATGCAATGATTATCATTATTATTTATTATTATTTGCACCCAACCTGTAATAGACATAGTGAGAATCACTCTGGGTTTACTCCGTGTAGGTGGGATGCATGGAATTCTCAGTTTGGATTAGATACTCTTAAGCACGGTGATGGGTTCCTGCATGCGTTAGACTCCTGACTGATCGAAAAAAAATCTGTCGGAACCTTTGACATCATAATAATAAATAATAATGCTTGCATTTGATATAGAGCCTTATCACGTCTTCGAGACATCTCAAAGCACTTCACGGAATGTACTATCCAATGAATTGACTGTGTATGTAGTTTGTGGGCGAAATGATAGAGAAAAATAATTAGGCTGTAATATAATCACCAATTATAATTATTTCACCGACCATAATTACAATCATAAGCTGATAGTTATCATTGACTTGGAGCCGCGTCAAACACAGACGCTGGCTCTTCCCAACCTGAGCCTAATACTTTGCAGAATTAGGTAAGCCGGATGAATCCCTCTCGGGAGAGAGAGTGTATTCCATTCCAACAATCTATCTCTGGGATTTCCATGTGGAGGTGGGAGGCTTGGAAATCCCAGTTTGATTTCAATACTCTTAAACATGGTGATGGGTTTCCACATGTGTCAGACACCCGGCTGAGCAAAAAAATTGATCAAGCGCAAGGAATATGATGGACTTCTCTACCTCAAAGGGCTGTGGATGCTCAGTCCTTGAACGTATTCAAGACTGAGATTGATAGATTTCTTGTGGATAAAGGGATTAAGGGATATGGGGATAAGGCGGGTGGGTGGAGTTAGAATAGATCAGCCATGATCTTATTGAATGGCGAGGCAGGCTCGAGGGGCCGAATGGCCTACTCCTGCTCCTAATTCTTATGTTCGTATGTTCTTCTTATTATAGTCATTTCAGCTGAGCGGCTTATCATTGGAATTCAGCACCTTACATGATCTGAGCTGAGAAAAACGGGAGCCTGATGCTTCATTTATAGCACAACTTCCATCTATCATCGTTTCTCTGATTGGGCTACTTTTAAATAATTGTAATAAATCGAATTGTTTCATATCAGTCTTTTTCGAATTTACCGCTCGTTTTAATGATCTTCAATTCAATTTTCTCTTCTGCTGATTCCCTTGAGCAAAGGTCTGTGCGGTGTGCGTGTGTGTGCGTGTATGCCCACATACGCCTGTATGCGCGTGTACGTGTGTGCGAGAGTATGTGTGTGCCCACGCGCGCATGTGTACATGTGTGTGCTTGCGCATGTGCGTGTGTGCATGCCCACAAATGCGTGTGTGCGTGCGTGTGCGTGTATGCATGTGTGTGAGGGTGCGTGTGCATGTGTGCATGTCTATATGCTCGATCCTGCGTATATGTGTGTCCATGCGTGTGTGTGTGCATCTGTGTGAGTGTACGTGTGCATTTTCATATATGTGAGATCCTGTGTGTGTGTGTTCATGCGTGTGTGTATGCGTATGTGTGCGTTTGCGCCCCGAGTGTGTGGGTGTGCATGTGTGTATGTGTGTGTTTTCTTACACATATTACTGAGCTGACTGTGCTGGGAGGTGATCTTCAATGACATGATGTTTTTGCTGATGTTTACACGTATGTGTCTCTCACTGCAGTGTCTGTTTTATTTCCTCCAACCCTAGGCTCAAATGATCGGCACAATTTTGGCGATAACTGGAAACATCCTTATCAGTATTTCACTAACTATTCAGGTAACAGTAACATTCTCTGCACTTTAGTTCATTCAGTGCTTATTTAGGAACCTGGTTGTTAGTTGATTGAGGGATTATAATCCCTTCAAAAAGAATTACGTGTCCTTACTCCACATATCTCTAGTTACCGAGCAGTAAGTAGGAATCCAGTTGTTCGTCAGTTAGCGGATCGCTTTCTGGGAATAATAATTGATCAATCAATAGATAAAATAATCACTCAATCCACGACTGTTTGTGGGACACTACTGTGCGCAATTGGCTGCCGCGTTTCATCCACAAAATATGCCGTCAATTCACTTCACCATATATTCTGTGAAGCGCTTTGAGGCGTTTCAATGATGTGATAGGGTTATTATAATTATTGTTATTTGACTATCCGAGAAGCTTTCCTTCTCTGTTTAGTGTGTGTGACTTCAGCTTAAATCGGGGAGGTAGAGTTTGTGGCAAAGTTTTGAGCCAGCGATTCTTCCCCTCTTCCATCGATTTCAAGTTCCTCACCTTCAGACACAAATCCTTTCACGTCTCAGCATCTCTATGATCACCTCCCACGCCCCTTGGCTCGTTGTCAGACTCCACCACTGTGAAGCGCTCCGGGACGCTACCCTGCGTGAAGGGCGCTATATAAATGCAAGTTGTTGTTGTTGTACCCCCACGATGGTTTTTGGGGCCTTGCGTCAGCAGGAGTTATTCAATCTGACACCGGAAACAAGAAGAGTTAAATCAGTATCAGGAGCTCCCTGTATCTCCTTGTATCATACATTGTCTGCTTGGAAAAATATTAGTCCCAGTGATTAAATAAGTGAGATGGAGTCTATTACACCACAGTTTATTAATAATAATAATCCTTGCATTTGATACAGCGCCTTATCACATCTTCGAGATGTCTCAAAGCGATTGTATATTGTAAAGACTGTGTATTTTTGTAGACAAAATGTAGCAGTCAATTGTGCACTGCAGTGTCTCACAAACAATCGTGGATTGAGTGACCAAATTCATTTTTTTTGGAGGGATTATTACCCCTGAAAAGCGATCCGCCAATCGACTAATAACCAGGTTCCTCCTTACTGCTAGAGGCATGTGGAGTAAGGAAATTTGCGTAAGGTCTCACCCTCTCTCGCATGTGTTTGAGACGTCTCAACGACGTGATAAGGTGCTATATCAGATGCAAGGATTATTATTATTAAGTGGGATGGAGTGTATCACAGATTACACCTGATCTGTGGACGGATTGCCCGATAAACCTTTTCTTGTTCTCCCATTAAACTAGTAAATCATTAAGCATTCAGCCCGAAAAGCTGCTGGAATTCGGGGCCGTAATAAGACTCGTGCTGGACATGAGTCAGTGTGTGGGTGGGAAGTAAGCTTATGTGTTTCTATGCTTCTATTGGAGGTAATCCAAAACAGTTTATGAATTGTCTTTCCTTTTCTGGGTGTGGTAGATTTGGTGATGCCTTGTATTCGTCAGAGAAATTAATTGCAATGCAATTTTTTCTAATCGAATTTACTTTGGGCTAAAAGACAAATGGGTACAAGTTTCTCTGCAGGCAGTTCGAACCCTATTTTCCACCAGCTTTCCTGGTAGCAAACTACTACCAGTTCTATTCCCCTCAATCATAGAGGTGTTCAAAATTATGAGGGTTTTTGATAAATAGATAGGGATAAACTGTTTGCTCTGGCGGGTGGGACGGTAACCAGAGGACACAGATTTAGGATAATTGGTAAAAGAGCCAGAGGTTGAGACAAGGAGATTTTTTTTACCCAGAGAGTTGTGATGGTCTGGAATGTACTGCCTGAAAAGGTGGTAGGAACAGATTCGATAATAAATAGAAATTTCAAAGGAAATTAGATAGGTACTTGAAAAGGAAAAATTTGCAGGTATACGGGATAAAAGCGGGGGAGTGGGATTAGTTGGCAGCTCTTTCAAAGAGCCGGCAGAGGCACGATGGACCGAATGGTCTCCTTCTATGCTGTAAAATTCTATGATTCTATCATGCATAATAGTAATAATAATCCTTACCTATGATATAACCTCTTTCAGATCAGGAGGACATCTTAAATAAAAGCGTTGCACACTGAAGTGCGATATAGTCTAGGCTGATGATGGGGAACGAGGGGGCAAGGCAGAGGGATTGAAGAAGGGGAACTTTTGGCCCATTGTGTCTGTACCACCCCGACTTGTTTTTCTAACCTGATTGTTTTCATAGTCAATCACGCCCACTGTAAGCGGCTATTGAAATGCACTGTCACTTAAACGTGAAATCAATATACTCGCTGCGTATGGAATTTAAGACGTTTCCTAAACGCTGACTTTTCCCCCAAATCTTGAATTTTAAACTCACGATCTAAAGGTTAAGAACCACGAGCATTTAAATATTAATCCTTGCATTTTTTTTAAAAGAGAATTGGATTTAAAGGGTGGCAAAAGCAGATTCAACGATAAGTTTCAAAAGGGAATTGGATATTTACTTGAAAAGAAAACATTTGCAAGGCTATGAGGAAGAGCAGAGGAGTGGGACTAATTGGAAAGCTCTTTCAAAGAGCCAGATGGGCCGAATGGCCTCCTTCTGCACTGTAAGATTCTATGATTTGACATAGCATCTTATCACGTCTTTGAGGTGTAAAGCTAGCAATTGAAAGCTAGCAAGTTAAATCCCTATTAAATAATATTAGAACTGACTGTGTATTTTGCAGGCAAACACGGCAGCCCATTTGCACTAGCCACGGATTGATTGACCACATTTATTCGAGGGATTATTGGCCAGGACTCTCAAGGTGAAGACCCTGAGAAATTTTGGGTGTCATAGTTTCAACTCGTATCGTGTTTAACTTGGCAATTATGCATTCAGATGTAATCTTATCCTAAGTTCTGTGAGATAGAAGCCTTTGCGGGTGTTTCAAAACTGTGATTACTTTAAATAAATAAAACGTCCCTAGACCTGTTAGCTCTTACTTTAATCAGGGCTAAATAAATAGGAATGAATAAAGCTGGATTGTGTGCACTGCCATGCGGCAGAGAGACAAAGTTTACCCAGTGGTGAATCATTGCAAATATAAGCAAGGTATCCAAAGTGGAATCTCTTTGAATTCAGATAATCCACTGATCTCTCAGCTGACGCTCCAATACAGTATGGGGGGGGGGGGGGGGGTTCTGCATTGTCAGAGGTGTCATCCTTCAGATGAGACATTAAACCAAGGCCCCATATGTCTATTCAAGTGGACGTTAAAGATCCAGTGGCGTTACTTGAAAAGAGAAGGGACTTTCTCTCGCATCGCCTGGCCAATAATCTCACTGATAAAATGGCTGTTTGTGCGACTTTGCTGTGCTCAACTTGGCTTCCACCTTTGCCTACAAAACACACAGTCACTTCCCAGTAAAATCCTATGAAGCGCTCTGAGACGTCTCAAAGACGCGATCAAATACAAGAATCGTTATTTGTATTCTCTAACTATGTTTTGTGGATGTTTGTGTGCTTTGATGATAGTGATGCTCAAACTTGTGCTCTCTGCCGCAGAAACAGTCACACATACTGCTGTCAGGCCGAGAAGACTCGATTCCCTTTTACAAAAGCAAACTTTGGTGGTGTGGAATCGTCGTAATGGGAATAGGCGAAATAGGAAACTTTGTAGCCTATGGCTTTGCTCCAGCATCTCTGGTCGCTCCACTAGGATGTATCTCCATTATCGGTAAGGTCTGATCTGTAACCTCTTGTGGGGAAATTGAAAGCTGGCAAGTTAAATCTCCATTAAATAATAATATAATAATCCTTGCATTTGATACAGAGCCTTATCACAGTGGTTAGAGCACTCGCCTAGCAAGCAAGAGACCTGGGTTTGATTCCCGCCAGGGCGAAATGTTGGGAAAGTTTCCTTATTCCATATGCCTCTGTTTATCCAGCAGTCAGTAGGAACCCGGTTGTTAGTCAATTGGCGGATCGCTTTTTCGGGGGTAATAATTCCTTGAAAAAAATAATAATGAATTGGTCACTTCAATCCACAACTGTTTGTGGGACACTGCTGTATGCAATTGGCTGCCCACAGAATGTACAGTGAATTCACTTTACAGTATATTCTGTAAAGCACTTTGAGATGTCTCAAAGATGTGATAAAGTGCAATATCAAATGCAAGGATTATTATTATCACATCTCAAAGCGCTTCACAGAATTTACTGTAAAATGGATTGACTGTGTATTTTGTGGGCAAAATGCGGCATCTGGTTGCACACAGCAGTGTCCCACAAAGAGTCATGATTTAGTGTTAAATAAGGCAGATAACAACATTAAATGATTGTTCACTCTCAGTTCTCCTTCAAAACCTATATCTTGTCTTTACAAGATCCATCTGATATGATCATTAGATCAGTTTGGATGAAGAAAGCTCTCCAAGCCTCAACCAGTTCCTTTGGGAGTAACATGGGAAGAAAGAGAGAGAGAGAGAGAGAGAGAGAGAGAGAGATGGAATGGGGGAGAGAGAGAAAAAGGAACATAAAGTTTAAAAATATACATTTTCTGCTTGGCTGACTCTGACTTCCTGCACCTCCCTTCACCATCATAAGAACATAAGAACACAAGAAATGCTAGATGAAAAAAGACCAAGGTCCATTTAGTTCGCCTTCCACCTTCCTGGCGGTCTCACGCACAGATGTCCCAAACTACCTATGTACAATATCCCACAATGTTATTTCCTAAAAGAAAACTATCTAATCTGTGTTTGAAAGAATCAACACTTCTTCTTCAACCGTCTCCCCAGGGAGCCTGTTCCACAGATTCACTATTCGCTCACTGAAATAGTGTTCGCATAGATTTGTTCTGAATTTCCCACCTTCAATCGCAGGCAGTGTCCTCGGTTCCACTATTCTGGACAAGTTGAAACAACCTGTCATGATCTATATTATTTTGTCACTTTAGAATCTTAAAGACAGCAATCACGTCACCTCTCAATCTTTTCTTTTCCTGCATGAACATGCCCAATTTACTTAGTCGCTCCTCATAGTCCAGTCCCTCCATTCCCTCAATCATTTTGGTTGCCCTCCTCTGTATTTTCTCAATTTCTCCCATATCCTTTTTGTACTGCGGTGACCAGAGCTGTACACAGCACTCTAAGTATGGTCTCACCAATGACTTATACAGTGGCAGGTTTACCCCACTATTTCAGCTTGCTATTGATCTTTTGATACATCCCAATATCTGGTTTGCTTTACTCACTGAATCGACGGATACAATTTGAGCCATGACGTCATGAAGCTTTGGAACTCTCTCCTTCAATTCCTCCACCTTGCTCCCTAATTCCCTCTTTTACATCATGACTGAAGACCTTCCTCTTCGACCGTGCTTACGGTCACCTCCCTCCCCTCGGCTCGCTATTGGACTCGGCCATTACTAAGCACTCCGACACGCTACCCAGCGTGAAGGGCGCTATATAAATGCAAGTTGTTGTTGTTGTAAATGCTAATTAAATAGAAAACAAGCAAGACGAACTGCAATTTGTGATACGGAGAACGTTTATCAGATAAATTCATCCATTAGAGCCACACGCTACTGTGTTTATGAAGCACTGACTCATAGTTATTTGAAGTATATTTAACAACCTCAACGCAACCCACCCAACTGGATCAGTCACATTTGGAGTGACTGCAACTGATAAGCAAATGGATTTTGCCCACAAAATACACAGTCAATTCACTTTACAGTATATTCTGTGAATCGCTTTGAGACGTCTCGAAGGCGTGATAAGGTGCTGTATCAAATGCAAGGATTATTATTATTATAAATGCTCTTTTTTGAAAGACAAGAATATGTAAACAGCGAACACAGTCGGGTGGGGGTGGGGTGGGAGGGGGCGGAGTGGTTAATCACTGTGTTTTCATGAAATAGAAACAAAGCCACTTTTATTCCCTCAAACCCACCTCACCCCACCCTAGAATTAGATATATTTTATATCTTTTTAAAGGCACGGATCAAATAATTGTCTGAAATGAGAGGGATTAGGTTTTCACTCAATAACTGGTTCTCAGACGACGTTGAGGCGTGCTTTCCCGCAGTGGTTGCCACGGTGACCAAAATGACTTTGTAAAGAGAAAGCACAGGTTTTTAAGCGCAGCGAATTGGCCAGCATTTTGTTCAGTTATTTTCCCTCGCCCCTTTTTTCCCCATTCGGGTGTCAATGTTACTCACTCGCCTTTTCGGGTAAGCAGCCCAGCAACAATAACGACAACAATAATAATTCTTGCATTTGGTACAAGCGCCTTTCACATCAAGAGAACGTGTCCTACAAACATACTAAAGTGAATGACCAATTTTACCTGGTGGATTGATTTGGCCAAGACTTTGGGTCAAACTCCCTTCTTTTTTTGAGTGGTGCCCCAGGACCTTTAACATCCACCTGTACAGGTAGACAGCAGTTTAATGTCTCATACCAAAGCACGGCACCTCCAAAAATGCCAACCCCCTCCATCACGCTCCCCTCACACCCTGCGCTGCACTGGGGTGTTGATGTGAAGCTTGAACCCATAACTTAGGACCTATTAACTGAGCCAGACTGACACCCAGCTAACAAGACAGGAAGCTGTAGTAATACTGGATAGTCAATGCAGGACTTGCATTGTATTAAGGTTATAATAATTCTTGCATTTTGATATAGCACCTTAGCACGTCTTCAAGACGTCTCAAAGCGCTTCACAGAATATACTACAAAGTGACTTGACTGTAAATTTTGTGGCGAAACATGGCAGCCAATTGCGCACAGTTGTGGATTGAGCGAACAATTTTTTTTAAAAGGAATTATTGCCACCAGAAAAGCCATCGGCCAATCGACTAACAACCAGGTTCCTACTTACTGCTAGGTAAACAGAGGCGTGTGGAGTAAGGAAACTTGCCCAACATTTCGCCCCGCTGGGAATCAAACCCATGTCTCTCGCTTGTGTTCTAATCACTGAGCTACAGGACTCCACAGTTACTAAAGGTTACTAAACCCCCACCGGCCAAAATAAACTGGCAGATCGTTTTTCAATTCAGGATGTCTTACAGCATGACAGAAGCCGTTAGTCTCTCCCTGCGCCTATAAATACAAAGAAATAAAATGCCTTCTATCCCTTGAAGTACGAGTGCTTTTCTGAAGCCTGCATGCAATGGGGTTTCTTTATATATAGGTGAGGGAATGAAAAAGCCTTGAAAAACAACACACTAATGTTACAACAACAACAACAGATTACATGTGTATATCGCCTTTCACGTCGGGTGGACGTCCCAAGCACTGGACAGTCAGGGATTTGGACCGAGCTGGGGGTTGGGATCAGAAGGGGTGGAGGGCAGGGAGGATGGGGTTAGGTGGATGACCGAAGGCACAGTCGAAGAGGAGGGTCTTACGATGGGCCTCGAAGGAGGCAAGTGAGGGGTGAGGTGAAGGGACTGTGGGATGGAGTTACAAAGGGTGGGGACAGAGAGGCTGAAGGCCCAACTGCAGATGGTGGGAAGGGCCGGGCAGGGGGTGTGGAGCAGGCTGGAGCCTGGTGAGTGGAGGGAGCCAACAGGTGATAAGGGAAAGTTAAAACGGTTGCTAAATGCCATACACAATAAATCGCCGATAAAGTAAATTAAATTGTGCCTTTATTTCACGTCATAACCTGCCACGTACGTGTAATGTGTTAGTTCTTAACTGGACAACTTATAACTAGATTAAACCAAACACAGCCCAAAATCCCAGGCCTAAAGAGCCAGAGACTATAACAAGAGAGGCATTATCCTGTGATGAAGCAGGAATTGCTTATTTTTGTCGGTTGGATCAAAGAAATCCATCTGACTGAGCCAGCCCCGCGATTTAATCTAAAAGGCATTTTCAAAATTAATTGTTGAATCAGCATCAGAATACAGTAAGTACCTGTAAACTGCTGCATTTGGAGATGCCACTTAGACTAATTTTGTCAGCGCCTGCAATCATTCTGTGAGAAGCTATTGAAATGTACAATGCAACAAATCTCGTTCAGGCAAAATAATCTACAAGCCAAGGCCCTTTGTGAGGTGGATGTCATTTCTTCTTGTGAAGAAGTAGCAGTTCCAATGTGAAATTCACAGTAATAATCCTTACAACTTTGGTAATCTTTACGTTTGATGTAGAGGCTTTCATGTCGGGAGGACGACCCAAAGAGTTTCACACGTTATACTGTACTGTAAAGTAGTGTGACTGTGTGTTTTGTGGGCGAACGCAGCAGCCAGCACCACACAAACAATTTTATTTGGGGAAGTTTGGGCCAGGATACTTGGAGAAACTCCCTTCTCTTTTCGAATGGTGCCAGTGGATCGTCAATATTCATATGAACAGGCAAACGGGGCCTCAGTTTGAACGTTGCATTTGAAGTACGGCATCTCCGACAATACAACACCCCCCCAGTACTGCATTGGAGTGTCAGCTTAGGCTATATGAGTTTCAAGTCCTGACGGCACAGAAGTAGGTGGAAGGATATAACTTCCTCCCTCTTTAAAATATAAAACAATGAGAATTGTGGCATGTTTTGGAAAACTCAAGTTCTGCCCTGTCATTCGGATCAGTGGATCAGATTTTTCAGCAAGTCTGTGCCAGAAAGAGTCTGCGGTCTAACGTGACACACAGATAGGAACACCGTACAAGTGTTTGATAGCAAAAACCTACCGGCAGGAAAATGGAAACAAGAAACAAAGCAACTTTGGTTTGTTTTAAAAAGATCTTTGAACCTAAATGTTGCCACTACCCCATACTTGAAGTTGTGCTGTATAAGTGCAAGGTGTTTCTGTGTTCAATACAAGCCGGCGATTTAGGGATGTTTGTTTCTGGCCTATTGTGCTCTGTGCCAAACCTGCGAATAAAATAATATGTTAGCACCACACGTGCAAGTAAGGGCTACACTATGGATTAGTAAAACCTTGCTAAAGTCTTCAGATGTCAGTCTTGAACAAGCAGCTCGTTTTGCGCCAATCAGTTAGTAATCGCTGCTTTAGTTTGGAGTTGTCTTGTGATGGTGCTGGGCTGCAGTTTGCATTGGTTAAGACTATGTCTGTCACCCTCAAGTTAGGCAGAGAGGATGACTGAGAGAGCGCAGCGATGCGTGACAGGTACAAAACTGGCAGGGAATTGTTGACCACTTTAAGCGATTGCAAATCAAAGACAAAAAGGAGTTAGTTGTTAATTGAAATATTAACATACATAGTACATATAACATAGTAAGGATTATTATTTTACACTTTAAAAAGTGTGTATTTTGCCCATAAAATATACAGTCAATTCAGTTTACAGTATATTCCGTGAAGCGCTTTGAGATGTCTCAAAAGGCATTATATAAAATGCAAGGATTATTATTAATTGAGAAAATAATCTTCTGACTGTATAGCTGACAGTACAATGGACCTACATTTCAAGAGTCTGAGTTCGGCATCCAAGGGAGTTACAGAGGTTTGGCACTGGGATTGGCAGCTTTTGCAAATATCACAAATTAGGCCACATTGTGGAGTGTGTTGGAAGGGGATGAATAACTTCTCAACAGAACTTGGAGAAACGTTGAAGAAGCTTTCTTCAAACCGATCTTCTGAGGGTTTTATTTTGATCGAAACTTGAAAATTGTGAATGATAAAATAGATGCATAGTTATACAGCACATTCTGCCCAACTAACTCATGCTGGTATTTAATACTCCACACAAATTTCACACTTATACCCCTCTGCGTCCTGCAGTATATTTTGTATATTCTCTGTGATAATTCAGATGCTTAAGTGCAATTTTTTTTCTTCACCAGCAAGCTCCGTCCTTTCCGTGATGTTTCTGAGAGAAATGTTTCGTGCTTCAGATGCCATTGGTAAGTCAGACTTCCAGCAGTGAAGCATTGCGTTTGAGCTATTAATAGCAAAATAATAATAAAAGTGATAATAATATTAATAACCCTTGTGTTGGTGAAGTGTCTTAACACATGGTCGAGACACTTCGAAGCGCTTCACAGAATCATTTCTGAGTCAGAAGATTGTGAGTTCTTGGAATAACATAGTTATGACGCTCTATTGCAGTGCTGGGGTGGGGTGTTGCATAGTCAGAAGTGCCGTCGTTCAAATGAAACTTTAAACCGAGGTCCTATCCGCCTGTTCAGGTGGATGTTAAAGATCCCATGGCACAATTCGAAAAGAGAAAGGAATTTGTCTCTCCCGGTGTCCTGGCCAACAATTCGCCAAATAAAATTGGTCACTCGCTCCATGGCTGTTTTGCGACATCACTGTGCACAACTGGCTGCTGGATTTTGCCCACAAAATACACCATCAATCCACTTTACAGTATATCCTGTGAAGCGCTTTGAGAGGTCTGAACGGTGTGATAAGGTGCTAAATCAAATGCAAGGATTATTATTCTTTACTGTGCCGATGTATTTTGTTGGTGAAGATGGCTGATAATTTTCACAGCAAGGTCTTGAAAACAGCCATGAAGTTAAAGACCAATTTTATCTGGGGGGGATTCTTGGCAAGAACAAATGGGAGAAACTCCCTTCTCTTTTTGAATAGTGCCACAGGATCTTTCACGTCCATCTGAACAGGCACAAATGGGACACTGGTTCAACGTCTAGTCTGAGGGATGGCATCTCCAACAATACAACACTGCACTGGAGTGTCAGATTGGACTGTGAACTCAAAGTTCTGACATGGGCTTTAAAGCTACTTGAATACTGTTCTGTGACAACTTGTCCCTTGTTTTACTGAGAGATCTTATTTCTCCTTCTGATGTGTATTACCGTCAGTGCTTTATATTTAAAAATAATAATAATAATCCTTGCATTTGATATAGCGCCTTATCACGTCGTTGAGACGTTTCAAAGTACTTCACAGAGGCAGCCAATTGCCTACAGTAGTGTCTCACAAACACTCATGGATTGAGTGAGTGACCAAATTTTTATAATTTTTTTTTGGAAGGATTATTAGCCCCGGAAAGTGATCCGCCAATCAACTAACAACCAGGTTCCTACTTACTGGTAGGTAACATAGGTGTATGGAATAGGGAAACTTGCCTAAACTTTCGCCCTGCCACAAGACAAAGCATCTTTTGCTTTATTTTTTTTCTAGGAACTGCAGTGGCATTACTGGGAACATATCTTCTGATAACCTTTGCTCCTGATATTCACAAAGACATTACAGCCAATGATATCCGCAGGTTCATTGTCAATTGGGAGTTTCTGATCTACCTGGTAAGAGACTCTTTGAATTCAGGCATTTCTTGTTAGCTCAATGAATATCACCTAAGATTCATTGCTTTTATTTGGTCAGTCGGGTTTCAGCGCTTTGGGACGTCCTCCCGACATGAAAGGCACTCTACAAATGTAATTTTGTTGTTGTTGTTGTCTTACATTTTGGAAACCCATCACCATAATTTTCAATGCACAACACCCACCAACCAACCAACCGTTTGGGTATCCAAGAGTGGAGTTTCTCAGAACCTTTAAAGGCATTGGCAGCATTTTCTCCTGCTTTGTGAGAATCAGCAGCTGATCACGACACTACATCAGCGACTAGGCCAGAACTAGTTGCACTGAGTTTAGAATAAATAAAAGCACCGTTTTTTGGGGGGATGGGAGTCAGTCAGATGTCTGACACATGCGGAAACCCATCGCCGTGCTTAACAGTATCCGAACCAAACTGAAATTTCCACACCTCCCACCTACACATGGAAATCCCAGAGAGAGATTGTTGGAATGGAATGCGCTCTCTCTCCCTGGAGGGCCACATCCTGTTTACCCAAGTGCGGAAAGTATTAGGCGCAGGTTGTCAAGAGCCAAGGCTTGGGGACCCCAGAGTGTGCGTTGGGGTAACTGCTGGAGTCTAACCAGCTAAAACCGCATAGCTTGCCGTTGAGAGCAGTGTCTGGGTGAATGGGTTGGCGGGAGGGCTTTGCTTCCCTGGTTACTTAGTAAGTAAATGCAACATATTGTACAAATCGAGAGAATATGTGTGTCAGCCCAGGTAAGTTGTTTCACCACTGAGTCAGAAGATTGTGGGTTCAAGCCCCACATCGGAACTTTGAGCTCACGTAGTCTAGGCTGACAACAGTGCAATGCTGAGGGAACACAGAGGGAACACACGACCCCAAACAACACAACGGCCATCAGGGTTTCCTGAACAAACCGTGACATTACTCACTGGCACCGTTACACTCTCAAAACTTTTCCCCCTGACTTTCCCAGTTTTCCTGAGACGCTGATAACAATCTGGTTCCTGAGCCAGGTGGGTCCACAGCATTCCAGGTCACTGCTGATGACAGCACAGCCGGCCCGGCTCATCAGCAGGACGTGGAAGGGCAGACCAGTCACTAGGGGAACAGAGATTCTTCCCACTCAGTTACACTGCGAACACCAAAGATTACAATGACTAACATCGGAACAAGCCAGGATGTTAAAAAAAAAAGAATAAATCAAATATTTGTATATGTGTGAGATGTAAACTGTTGCTCCTGCTTTGTTGCAGTTGGTGGAAACTGTACTCTTTTGTGCCTTGCTGTATCTGTACGAGAGAAAAGGCCTGAAACACATTGTGATTCCATTGCTGATCTCCTCATTACTTGGTAAGAATTTGCAATTAATCACTAAATTCGAAGTGGAGGTTGTACAGCTTCCACTTAATACTGTTACATGTTCATAGAGAAAATGTTTGACGTGTGTCTCAACTTTACCACTCTCTCCTTCTCTCCCCACCATCAATGTACCTCCCCCATATAATAACAATAATAATAATAATAATCCTTGCATTTGATATTGCGTCTTATCAAATCTTCGAGACGTCTCAAAGCTCTTCACAGAATATACTATAAAGTGAATTGACTGTATATTTTGTGGGTGAAACTCAGCAGCCAATTGTGCACAGCAGTGTCTCCCAAACAGTCATGGATTGAAGTGACCAATTTATTATTTTATTTTTTTTGAAGGGATTATTACCCCCAGAAAAGTGATCTACCAATCGACTAACATTCCTACTTACTGCTAGGTAAACAGAGGCGTATGGAGTAAGGAAACTTGCCCAACATTTCGCCCTGCCGAGAATTGAACCCAGGTTTCTCGTTTGCGAGGCAAGTGCTCTAACCACTGAGCTGCAGGACTCCAATAATAATTCTTGCATTTTTCTATTGCACCTTGTCATCTCATTGAGACGTCTCAAAGCGCTTCACAGAATATAATGTCAAGTGAATTGACCGTATATTTTGTGGGCGAAACGCGGCAGCCAATTGCCCACAGTGGTGTCCCACAAACAGTCGTGAATTGAGTGACCAAATTATTACTATTTTTTTTAAGGGATTACTACCCCCGCAAAGTGATCTGCCAATCAACTAACAACCGGATTCCAACTTACTGCTAGGTAAACAGTGGTGGGAGGAGTAAGGAAACTTGCTTAAGATTTCCCTCTGCCTGGGAATTGACCCCAGGTCCTCTCACTTGCAAGGCGAGCCCGCTAACCAATATGCTGCAGGACTCCACACCTTTCCATCTCGTGACACCAACATGTCGTTGCTGTGATTGAGAAAGCAAACAGTGGCTTGGCCAAGCCTTTCCTCTGCCGTACAAATATTTGATCCAGCAGTGAGGAGCAGACTGCCTGTCAGACATCAGGAGCTGGATGAGCGCGAATTTCCTTCAACTAATCGTTGACAAGACAGAAGCCATACTCTTTGGCTCTCGTTAACGTCTTAAATTGCATGGTTCTCACCTCCTCCATCTACCCGACCTCCCCCTAAAACTCTCCGAACCCATACTTAACCTGGGCATCAGGCTCGACCTCCAATTATCCTTCCTCCCCCACATCCGGTCCCTCACCAGCACTGCTTTCTTCCACCGCCGACCCATCACCCCTAAAGCCACCGAAACTCTGGTCCATGCATTTGTCACCTCTCGGCTGAACTATTCAAATACCCTCCTCGCCAGTCTCCCCTCCATTACCATTCATAAAATCCAGGTCATCCAGAATTCTGCCGCCCGCATTCTTACCCGCACCAAACACCGCTCCATGATTACCCTGGTCCTTGCCAGACTGCACTGGCTGCCTGTCCCAGAGAGGATCGATTTCAAGATCCTCACCCTTGTCTTCAAATCCCTCCACTCCTCTGCACCCCCGACCTCTCTGACCTCTCTCCTTACAACAGTGCACGTTGCCTTCGTTCCATCTGGTCTGGCCTCCTCCTTGTCCCCCAAATCCTCTGCTCCGCTCTGTGCCTTCAGCCACTATGCCCCGAGGCTCTAGAACTTCCTTCCTCTCTCCCTTCCCCTCAACTCCTCTCTTATTTTCAGGTCTCAGCTAAAGACCTTTCGTTTTGACCGCGCTTTTGGTCACCTTCCCCCTCCCCCTGGCTCTGCCCCGGGATCCGTTATTGTGAAGCGCTCTGAGACGCTGTGCGGCATGGAGGGCGCTATATAAATCCAAGTTGTTGTTGTTGTTGTTGAGATGCTTGTGAAAATGTACCCAATACGCCTTTCCATCTCGTGACACAAGCACAAGATGGTCAAACATCAGCTTCTGTATTTCTTTGGCTCATTCTCTAGAGGAGGCCCAGCGTGAGTCACTGAGGGGAGATTAATGAGACTGATCCTGAGCGTTAGAGAGATTAGTTGTGAGGAACGATTAGATAATCTGGATCTCTCCATCTTTGAAAAGACACGGGTCCAAGAAGTTCTTATAATAACAACTTCCATTTACACAGCGCCTTTCACATAGGGAACAGGGATGGGGCTGAACGCTGAACAAGGGAGAGGGAGAGAGAGGTGGCCATTGGCACGTTTGAAGAGGTAAGAATTGAGGCAGGACTTAAAGAGAGAGGACGAGATGGAGTGGTTAGAGTGAGGGAGTTCAGGAGGTAGAAGAGTAGGAACTGAAGCTTTGGTCTACAACAACAACAACAACAGGTCTAGGCTGATGTTCCAATACAGTGCTGGAGGTGTGTTGCATTGCCTGTTTCCAATTGCCTGTTCTGGCAATCATGCAATCATGCTAAAGATCCCATGGCTCTATTCAAAAAGAGAAGAGAGTTTATCTCGGTGTCTTGGCTAACAATCCCACCAGAGACAAAAAACTTCACGGCTGTTTGTGGGACATTGTTATGCGTAAATTGACTGCCACATTCAAGCACAAAATACAAAGTCATCCTCACAGTGAGTAAATCCTGTGAACCATTTTGAGGTGTTTTGACAATGTAATAAGGCGCTTTATCAAATGCAAGTATTATTATTCCAGATACACTAAAACATAAGAACATAAGAACATAAGAATAGGAGCAGGAGTAGGCCATTCGGCCCCTCGAGCCTGTGCCCCACCATTCGATAAGATCATGGCACCTAACTCTAATTACCTGCCCTATCCCCATTTCCCCTAATCCCTCTATTTTTTTAAAAATCTATCAGTCTCATCCTTGAAGATGTTCAAGGACTGAGCATCTACAGCCTTCTGGGGTAGTGAATTCCATAAACTCACTACCCTCTGAGTGAAGAAATGTTTCCTCAACTCTGTTCTAAAAGGCTGACCCTTAATTTTAAGACTGTGACCCCTGGTTATAGATTCTCCTACCAGGGGAAACAGACCCTCAGTGTCTACTTTATCAGCCCTTTAAGAATCTTATATGTTTCAATAAGGTCTCCCCTAATTCTTCTGTATTCTAGAGAATACAACCTTAGTTTATTCAGCCTATCCTCATAGGTCAGTGCCCTCATCCCAGGAACTAACTGAGTGAATCTCCGCTGCACCCCCTCTAGGGCAAGTATGTCCTTTTTTAAATAAGGAGACCAAAACTGCACACAATACTCTCGGTGCGGTCTCACCAAGGCCCTATACAGTTGCAGCAAGACTTCCCTACTCTTGTACTCTAAACCTTTTGCAATGAACGCTAACATGCCGTTCGCCTTCTTAGTTGCTGCTGCACCTGCAAACTAACTTTTTGAGACTGGTGTACAAGGACACCCAAATCCCTCTGAACACTAACACTATCTAATCTCTCCCCCTCTAGAAAATAATCTGTTTTTCTATTTTTTCTACCTAGGTGAATAACTTCACACTTCCCCACATTAAATTCCATCTGCCACCTACTCGCCCACTCCCCGAGCCTATCTATATCCCGTTGCAATCTTTTTGCATCATCCTCAGAGCTTACTCTCCCACCGAGTTTAGTGTCATCCGCGAATTTAGATACGTTACATTCAATGTCCTCGTCTAGATCATTGATGTAAATTGTAAATAGCTGAGGCCCAAGCACTGATCCTTGTGGCACTCCACTAGTCACATCCTGCCAATTCAAGAATGACCCGTTTATCCCTACTCTCTGTTTTCTACCCGTTAGCCACTCTTCAATCCATGCTAATATGTTCCCATTAATCCCATGGGCCTTAACCTTGTGCAATAGCCTTTTGTGTGGCACTTTGTCAAATGCCTTTTTAAAATCTAAATATACTACATCTACTGGTTCCCCCCTATCTAACCTGCGAGATACATCTTCAAAAAACTTGTTGACTCTGCCTAATCTTGTTATGGTCTTCCAGGAATCCCATAACGACATCTTTAATTAAGGATTCAAGAATTTTCCCTACCACTGATGTCAGACTAACTGGTTTATAGTTCCTCTTTTCTCTCCCACCCTTCTTAAATAGTGATGTTACGTTTGCAATCTTCCAATCAATGGGATCCGTTCCGGAATCCAGAGAATTTTGGAAGATCAAAGACAAGGCATCCACTATCTCAGTAACCACCTCTTTTAAAACCCTAGGATGTGGGCCATCAGTTCCAGGAGATTTATCAGTTTTAAGACCTGATAATTTACCTAAAATCATTTCTTTACTAATATTAATTCCTCCAAGTTGCTCGCTAACATTGTCTTCTTGGTTCCCCTCCATTCTTGTGATGAATTAAAAAATCAAACGTGAAGGCAATCGTGGCAGACTTTTACAGGAGACTGACCTAAATGTCAGCTTGAGGAAACAAGATAAGGCATATTTACAGCAGAGGTCTTCAGATCCTTGTAAAACTCGGGGTGGAAAAATCTAGTTGCTTTTTTTTGTGCCATTTAGAACATAAGCATCCTAATCTCATCTACCCCTGAAATTGTAGGCATAAAATCTTACTATGAAAACTGTTTTGTAAAACTTTTGTTTCGTTTATCCTCTTTCCAGATGAATAATTTTTGATTCCCTTTGTGCTTTTCCAGCATCATTGACCGTGATCTCAGTGAAGGCTGTGAATGGGATGTTGGCAAATTCCATCAAGGGCAATTTCCAGTTACAGCACCCGATATTCTATGTGATGCTTATTCTTTTGCTGGCATCTTGTATTTCCCAAGCACAGTAAGTCATCAAATGATAATAGAAACTTGTGAGTCCTGTAGCGTATTTGTTGAGCGCTCACCTCACGAGCGAGAGGACCCAGGCTCGATTCCCAGGTGGGGCAAAACCTTAGGGTAATAATCTCTAGGGATAATAATCCCTTAAAAAACTTGTGGGACACTTGTGTGCGCAATTGGCTGCCGAGTTTGCCCACAACTATACAGTCAATTCACTTTACAGTTCATTCGGTGAAGCGCTTGGAGACGTCTCGACGAGATTTTTCAATCAATCCCCATCCCAAAAGATGTTTAGATTCTGTTTAGTTTTTCAAAAAAAACATAAAAACAATAATAAATTGGTCATTTTCAATCCACGACTGTTTGTGGGACACTGCTGTGCACAATTGGCTGCTGCGTTCGCCCACAAATATACAGTCAATTCACTTTACAGCATATTTTGTGAAGCGCTTTGAAGAAGACGTCTAGAAGACGTGAAAAGCGCTACATCAAATGCAAGGATTATTATTATTATTAGTGCTTAATAAAGATAATATTCTTTTATTGCAGGTACTTGAATGAAGCCATACAGCTCTATGGTTCCATGAATGTGGTGCCAATGAACTTTGTTTTCTCCACCGTTAGTGCCATCCTAGCAGGTATGATTCCTCACCCTCCTTTATCTGGACAATGTGAAAAACCTTTGGGAGTGAGAACAACAGTGTGGCAAGAATATCGAAGGAGTTCCTCCTTTAACAGTGCTGTTCTTAACTCCAAGAATCTATAAGGACATGTGTGACGGATGTACGTATATCTAACACACCCACACCTTTCTGGATGCTAAAAGATTAAAAAAAAGTTCCTTGGGAGGACATCTCAAGGCGCTGGACAGTCAAAGTTTGCATTAAACAACATAAAATTATTGTTTATTGGCTTTTAGGCCTCCTTCAAATAGCTAAGAGTTGATGTTAACTTAACGATTCCAAAAGTGGCTCTAAACCGTTTTAAATCATATCCCCAGACTGTATTTAATATTTTATTCACAAAGCAATGTGCACAAACAGGTCGGTTACTTCTGTCGCCTAGTCCAAACCCTGCCCCTTTAAGAAACTATTGCTGTTAACAAACTGACTTTCTTAGCAGGACAAAATATCTTAGATTTATTTTGATAGATAGCAAATTAGATTTCTTTTAGGAAATTAATATCTCGGGATACAGTACTTAGTTTGGGATATGATGTGCATGCGACTGCCAGGATGGTGGAAGGTGAACTGGATGGACTTTGGTCTTCTTTCACCGAGCAAATTCTAATGTTATGTTCTAAACTCACTGTACTGAATGGTCAGGCTGCAGTTACTTAGTAACTGGAGTCCTGTAGCTCAGTGGTTAGAGCACTCGCTTTTGCAAGCGAGAGACCTGAGTTCAATTCCAGGCAGAGGGCGAAACCTTGGGCAAGTTTCCTTACTCCACACAGAGCCTAATAATAATCCCTCCAAAACAAAAAACAATAATAAAAATTGGTCATTTTCAATCTTCGACTGTTTGTGGGACGTTGCTGTGCGCAATTTCTGCCGCGTTCGCCCACAAATGTACAGTCAATTCACTTTACAGTGTGTTCTGTGAAGCGCTTTGGGACGTCCTCCCGACGTGAAAAGCGCTATATCAAACGCAAGGATTATTATTATTAGTAGTAACGTGTGTATATTCATGGACACAAAAACTATGGTCACTAATGTGTTCAGGCTGGTTATACTGTAAATCCTGTATATTAACTGGTAACTAGATTGTATACTGTATTTACTTGGTTCAGCAGTCCTGGTTCAGCAGTCCTTCAACGCCGTCTGGCGTGGAGGGCGCTACATAAATCCAAGTTGTTGTTGTTGTTATTACCAAGGATGTTGGTCATTGTGGCTACCATTGCATTAAATGGTTGAAAAGCTAATGGTTATGGTTCTTTTACACACACGCTGTGTGTGTAAAAAGTGAACTGGTTGGACCTTGGTCTTCTTTCGTCCAGCAATTCTTATGTTCTTATGTTGTTATTATCTTTCAGAAGTGGATAAAGGCGTGAAAGGTTATACATAAATGGCATTTTGTTGTAGCGCAGTTCATTTCTTTCATTCAGTACAAGTATAAACAGGCTGTTACCCCAAGTTGCTTAACTCACAATACCTTTCTTGATAATGTGATAATAATAATCATTGCAGATAAGGCGTTATATCAAATGCAAGGATTATTATTATTATTATTTCCAGTCGTCAAGAATATCGACTGAGAGCATTGTATCATCCACTGATGTGACTAAGACTACTGTCCCCCTTAACTTCAGAATCTCGGCAAACAAACCTGAGTATCTATGACACAATAGTCCATCCGGATTTAAAAGTGGTTAATGTAGAGAATATTGAACGTATCGATTTTGTTACAGTTTTGCATTTTATTCTTTTCTTTAATCACAGGGATAATATTTTATCAGGAATTTCACAGTTCAGCATTTCTGAATGTGATCATGGTTTTGTTTGGGTAAGTAACACAAAACAGATAACTTTAAAAGATCTCTCAAACTTGCATTCACATCCTCTCTTTTCTTTTTTGGACAGGTTTTTCATAATTTACAGGCTTCAACTCCTAATTGTAAATTCTATCTGAGCACATGCTTTAGCACAGTAAATCCTCCAGAGTTATTTTAGTTTTCGGGTATTCGTAACTTATAGAATCATAGAATCTTACAGCACAGAAGGAGGCCATTCGGCCCATTCTGACTATGTCGGCTCTTTGAAAGAGCTATCCATCTAGTCCCGCTACCCCGCTCTTTCCCATAAACTTTTTATTTCAAAGTAAATATCCAATTCTCTTTTGCGAGTTATTATTGAACCCTTTCAGGCTGTGCATTCCAGAGACCGTAACAAGTTGCTGCAAAAATCATTCTCCTCATCTTCCCTTTGGCTCTCTTAAATCTACGTCTATGGTTACCGAACCATCTGCCAGTGGAAACAGTTTCTCCTTATTTACACTATTAAAACCCCTCATAATTTTGAGCACCTCTATTAAATGTCCCCTTAACCTACTTTGCTCGAAGGAGAACAATTCCAGCCTTTCTAATTTCTCCACATAACTGAAGACCATCATCCTTCATCTACTTCTACTAAACCAATTTTGCGTGCATTCAATAATGTGGAATTAAAAATGCAAAAAACTTATATTGTCTTCTTCAGTAATTCTGTATCTATTCATGACCCATCCTTCAGATGAGATGTTAGACCAAGGTCTCGTAAATCTCTTCAGGTGGACGTTAAATATCCCATGGCACTATTTGAAAAGAGAAGAGAATTTCTTTCTCCCGGTGTCCTGGCCAACAATCCCCCAAATAAAATTGGTCACTCACTCCATGGCTATTTTTGGGATACTGCTGTGCGCAAATTGGCTGGTGCGTTTCGCCCGCAAAATTACACACTCAATCCACTTTACAGTATATCCTGTGAGGCACTTTGAGATGTATCAACGGTGTGATTAAGATGCGATATCAAAATGCAAGAATTATTACTATTATTATTTCATCTTTCCTAGGAGTTTGCTGTCGTTTCTTGGAGTGTTTCTGATTACCAGAAACAGGGAAAAGAAGACCTCTGAAGTTTCATATGTTGACCCGGGCACGATACCAAGTACGAACTCTTATCTTGTTGATTTTGAAGCCCACTCAATTTAGAGCAGGGCCAGAATATAATAGAAATTAATGAGCGAGCAACAACGATATGAGCACAAACAACTCTGCGCAAACTCAAACAAACCCCAAATTACTTTTTACAGTGTAATTCCATTTTGGTGTTGGTTAGACTCCAGCAGTTACCCCAACGCACACTCTGGGGTCCCCAAACCTTGGCTCTTGACAACCTGCGCCTAATACTTTCTGGAATTGGGTAAACAGGATGTGTCCCTCCAGGGAGAGAGAGAGCGTATTCCATTCCGACAATCTATCTCTGGGATTTCCATGTGTAGGTGGGAGGCAGGGAATTCTCAGTTTGGTTTGGATACTCTTAAGCACGGTGATGGGTTTCTGTATGTGTCAGACACCCGGCTGACCCCCCCCAAAAAATGGTGCTTTTATTTATTCTAAACTCATTGCAACTAGTTCTGGCCTAGTCGCTGATGTAGTGTCGTGATCAGCTGCTGATTCTCACATAGCAGGAGAAAATGCTGCCAATGCCTTTAACAGTTCTGAGAAACTCCACTCTTGGATACCCAAATGGTTGGTTGGTGGGTGTTGTGCATCGAAAATTATTTTCTGTTTTTGTCATTTGGAATTAAGGCCCTGTCACAGTTTTTATTCTCCCCCTGTTAACATTTTTATATGTTCCTCGTATTCTTTTGGTTTACAATTCAACCTGGCGCACTCTCCCGTGAGTCAGGAGGTCGTAGGTTCAAGCCTCACATCAGGCCTTGGAATTACATAGTTACATCGTCTAAGATGACTCTCCAATTCCCTCCCAAAATAAAATTGGTCACTCACCCCATGGCTGTTTGTGGGATATTGCTATGCGCATATTGGTTGCTGCATTCAACGACAAAATATGCGTAGTCATAATAATATCACTTTGCAGGATATCCTGTGAAGCACTTTGGGACATGGACGCCATGATAAAGCATTATATCAAATGCAAGGATTATTTTTGTTTTATCTTATTATTATTATTGATAGTTTTGATTTTAATTCCATTTTAAATCAAGAACGCACCAGTCACTATTTCAAAATGCTTAATCACATTATTTTGCTTTGCTTTACACAGAACTAAAATCTACAGCCAAAATCCAGCCAGATTTCAGAAGTAAACATTCATATGGAACTGTACCGAGTGAAAAACAGGCTAATGACTGTCAGACTGCAAATGCAAAATAATTACGGTTCAACTGGCTTAGCATCCCGATGAAGTATCTGAAAATTAGGACGTCCTCAAACTGAAGGTGGAATTATGTGGAGCCCTGTAGCGTATTGGTTAGAGAGTGAGGACCTGAGTTCGCTGGCGGGGCAGGTGGAAATGTTAGCCAAGTTTCCTTACTCTACCTGCCGCTGTTTACCTAGCAGTAAATAGGAATCCAGTTGTCCGTTGATTGGTGGATCACTTTTGGGGGATAATAATTAATCAATCAATAAATAAAATAATTTGGTCACTCAATCCACGAGTGTTTGAGGGACGCTGCTGTGCGTAATTCCGCCATAGTCAATTCGCTTTGCAGTATATTCTGTGAAGCTTTTTGAGATGTCTCAACAACGTGATAAGGCACTGTATCAAGTGCAAAGATTATTATTATTATCTCTTATTATCAAGGGATAACCTTCACTTGCCAAAATTGCCTGTTCTCTTCCATGTTGAACCACTTGTGACTGGATCGGGCAACTTTACATTCTCACTGAAGGAAAAAANTATTGACCTTCAATATTCAGTGTCTCCCAAATGACAGGTCGATTGACCTTGTAAAATAAAATGTTCTGTCTAGAAAAATGATAAATAATTTGCAAACGTATCTAGTTGGGTTAGTATCAGAATAGGCCCAACCAGTTAAGTTTAGCAACTTATGTCTTGAAAGCAATCTTTGGCAAGCAGTTGAATGTAAATTGTTTTTCAGATTTCAGAAATAAGAGAATAAAGTTAAATAGATGATCCGACAGTATTCTTCATTGCACCCATTTATTATCTTGCTGTGCAGGGTAACACATATATATTTGTAAGTTACTTTGAAGCAGGAACATTTCACCTTGAGAGATTTAAGTGAAGATTTACTTTTGTTCGCATGGTAAGATACATTACATCTAAGATACATTACTGACCAGTTTGCACATTTGTTATTAACGTTGAGTATAAGAAAATATTAAATTGATACGGAATTGCGCCTGGTTGCTAATTTAATTTTTGGGATATAAATATGCGTTCAAGATTTACATACAGTTTACAACTCATGGCAGCAATGATCCTTAGGGTTAAGTTATGAAACATTGTTTTTCAATGGGAATAATAAATCATCAATCAGGAATTCACTTATGCAAAATATAGTTTGTAAACAATTCATGGTTCAACTGGTTCCAAAGTGAAACAATATTTAGCTAAATCAAAGTATTGTAATTTATAGTATACATCAAATGCACATACAAGATGTATGTATTTTGTACTGTACACATGACTAGAAATTAAAGCCACATGCATACATTGTCTATTGTGCTGTAACATTATTAAAACAGTAGTGCCCCCTAGTGACCCTCTTCTTAATTACCTAAAAATACCACACTTCAGTTCACTTAAGGATCAAAAAATAATTAACACGTTGATCAGAATGCCTGCAAACAAGTTAGTACATTTTCAGTCTCCAAAGTTCACACACTGGACATTAGCTGAGCTTTCCGCACTTAAACATGTCACTGAGTTCTCTTTCAGAGACCGTGGAGTCCTGCAGTGCAGTGGTTAGAGCGCTCGCCTCGCAAGCGAGAGGACCTGGGTTTGATTCCCGAATGGGGTGAAAGCTTAGGCAAGTTTCTTTACTCCACACGCCTCTATATACCTAGCAGTAAGAAGGAACCCGGTTCGCTTTCTGGGGATAATAATCCTTTCAATCAAAATAATAATAATAATTTGGTCAATCAATTCATGACTGTTTGCGGGACACTGCTCTGCGCAATCGGCAGCTGCGTTTTGTTCACAAAATAGTCGATTCACTTTACAGTATATTCTGTGAAATGCTTCAATTAAGTGATGAAGCTTATATCAAATGCAAGGATTATTATTATTTGCTGTGGAGTTGACTTGCATTTGGGCCTGGATGAGTGAAAACTTCCTACAACAACAACTTACACTTCCATAGCACCCTCCACGTAGGGTAGTGTCTCAGAGAACTTAACAGTAGTGAATCCTGACTCCGAGCCGGGGAGAGGTGCAAGTAAACACGGTCGAACAGGAAAGTTTTCAGGTGGGACTTGAAAGAGGGGAGAGAGGGGACAAGGCGGAGGGATTGAGGGAGTGTTCCAGAGTTTTGGATCGTAGTGGCTGAAAGCACGAGCTCCGATGGTTGGGCAGAGAGTGCAATGGATGAGCAGGAGGCCAGTGCCACTCGAGCAAAGGCGCCGTGTGGTGGATTGCAGAGTGAGGAGGTCATAGAGGTGGGGAGGTGGCAGGGAGTGAAGGGATTTGAACACGAGTGTGAGGATCTTGAAGTCGATCCATTCGGTGATGGGGAGCCAGTGGAGCCTGGGCCAGAACTGGTGAGATGTGGGTACGGAGTTTGGTCCGGGTCAGTATGTGGGCAGCAGAGTTCTGAATGAGCTGGATCTTGTGAATGGTGGAGCTGCGGAGACCGGCGAGGTGTGCGTTGGAGTAATCCAGGCGGGAGGTGACAAACACACGCACGAGACGTTGATGGGAGCCAAGGAGTAACTCAACTCAATGGTGACAAGACGGAAGCCGTATTCATTGGCTCCCGTCAATATCTTCTATCCTGCGGCTCTGACCTCCTCAATCTCCCCGGTTTATCCCTCAGACTTACCGAACCCGTGCGCAACCTAGACATCAAGTTCGACCCACCATTGTCCTTCCTTCTCCACATCCGGTCCCTGAGCAAGGACCGTCTTCCTCCACCTCCGCCAGATTGCCCACCTCCAACCGTACCTTACTCTAGATGCAGCCGAAACACTCGTCCATGGGTTCGTCACCTCCTGCCTCGACTTCTCAAATGTCCTCTTTGCCGGTCTCCCCAGCTCCACCATGCAGAGGATCCAACTGATCCAAAACTCCACCGCCTGTATACTCACCCGTACTAAGCTCCATACCCCCATCACACCAGTTGTGGAGTCCTGTAGCTCAGTGGTTAGAGCACTCGCTTTGCAAGCGAGAGACCCGAGTTCAATTTCAGGCAGAGGGCGAAACCTTGGGCAAGTTTCCTTACTCCACACACCTAATAATAATCCCTCCAAAACAAAACAATAATAAATTGGTCATTTTCAATCTACGACTGTTTGTGGGACACTGCTGTGCGCAATTGGCTGCCGCGTTCGCCCACAAAATATACAGTCAATTCACTCTACAGTATATTCTGTGAAGCGCTTTGAGACATCTAGAAGACGTGAAAAGCGCTATATCAAATGCAAGGATTATCATTATTATATTATTATAGCCAGGCTCCACTGGCTCCCTATTGCCGAACAGATTGATCTCAAGATCCTCTCACTCGTTTTCAAATCCATTGATGCTCTGGCACCTCCCTACCTCTCCAACCTGCTTATGCCCAACCCACTACTCGCTGCCTCTGCTCAACTGGCTCCAGCCTTCTGTTATATCCCTCGTGCCCTTCGTTCTACCATTGGTGGCTGCACTTTCAGCCACTATACCTGAAAGTCTGGAACACTCTGCTTCTATCCCTCCACCTTCCTTCATTTCCCATCCTTAGTTCAAGTCTGAAGACCTTCCTATTCGACCGTGCCTACGGTCACCTCCCCCTCCCCCGGCTCGGGGTCATGCTCCCACTGTCAAGCACTCTGGGATGCTACCCTGTGTGAGTGGCGCTATATAAATGCCAGTTGTTGTTATATTTGTTGTAATTTTTTCAAGCCTGAACAGAACAAACAGGGCCTGTAAACATCTGCAAGATGAATAATTGTAGAACTTGCTGATATCTGATTGATCCGTGGGAAGGGAAGTGAAAGGGAGGGGAGGGAGCAAAGGGAAATGAAAGAGAGGGGTAGTTTTATCAGTGGGATTCACATATAATTTTTAAATCCCGAACTGAACTTCTCCCACGTATCTTCCAGCTAAATATCTGAAATGGCTAAAAATGTCCCGCTTTGTTATTTCAATTGGGATTGAAACCTTTTGTAAATAAATAATAATAAATGGCCTGAACCCATTGTTTGCCATCCTTCCACGTCTTCTGGTGATAAACATGACAGTGAGGACACAGGGCAGTTTTCAAGGTAACTGGAATTACCTTCTTTCATGTTTCACCAATCTATTTTTAAATGGTGATTCAACCCACTGCAACTCAGTTTGTGGAATTAATTACCGGTGTCAAACTAATAACAACTTTCATTGATAAAGCTCCCCTCAAGCAGGGTAATGTGCCAGAGCACTTTGCACGATGCTGAGCCGGAGGGAAGTGACCATAGGCACGGTCGAAGAGGAAGGTCTTTGGGCCTGACCTGAAGATGGAGCAAAGTGGAGGGTTTGAGGGAGTGTTTCAGAGTTTCGGGCTTAATGGCTGAAAGCGCAACCATTGGTAATTGGACAGAAGGCACGAGAGATAAGCAGGAGGCTGGAGTCAGTCAAGCAGAAATAATGTGTAGTTGGTTGGGGAGTAAGCAAGTGGGAGAGGTGGGTAGGGAGGTGCCAGGGCTTGAAAGGATTTGAAGACGACTGTGAGGATTACAGAACTGGGGTTGTCTGGTGAAGATGGTAGGGCAGACTAGAAACTAATCAGACAGACTACAGCATTTCCAATTAGAACTGGAGAGGAATAAAATGAAAGAAACTGCAGAACAACAACAAAATTACATTTGTATAGCACCTTTCACATCAGAAGGAGGTCCCAAGGCGCTGGACAGTCAAGAGTTTCGGACCTGAGCTGGGGGTCGGGTTTGGGAGGGTGGTGGGAAGCAGGGTGATCGAAAGTACGGTCGAAGAGGAGGGTCTTGAGATGAGCCTTGAAGGAGGCAAGGGAGGGGGCGAGGCGGAGGGACTGCGGGATGGAGTTCCAGAGGGTGGGGGCAGAGTGGCAGAAGGCCCACCCGCCAATGGTGAAGAACAAAAATATGCACCAAAAAGATATTGCTTCATTCTCAGCAAGTTTATTTTAATCTTAATAATTGGTTAGAACAGTACCAAGCAAAGAGATCATTTTTCTGCTCAATTTATAAGCATATGGACTTACTCATCACAAACATAATTTTTCTTGGAATTCATATTGCATTCATGTAAACAGCAATTTATTGTGAGTCAGCTCAAAACAATCTTCAGACCAAGATAATTTTGGCTAGCTAAGCTAACACTATATCCAGGTTCCTGCACCCATATTAAAAGGAAGTTAGACCTCCACATGAGGGAGAGGGGAATAGAAGGGTATGGGAGGGAGTAAGGAACAAATGGAGACTCATGTGGAGAATAAACACCAGCACGGACTGGTTGGGTCGAGTGGCCTGTGTCCGTGCTGTACAACGTTTGTAAATATTTCTATCCTGGTCACAAGCTCTGATTGTAACACATGCTGTCTCTGGCACTCTGTCCTGCCTCTCGAAGAAGCTCAAAGATACATGGCACCAAAAGCATCTTGCTAACCTAATCAGCCCACACTGGAATCTAGCTTGTTCATTCCTCAATATTTATTTTAGCTAATCGATACTGCAGGGAAGCTGGGTTTCTTACTAACACTAGACCTCGCTTGTTCGCTGGTTGGTTGAACACCATATGCAACAGTCCTGTCAAGCTGACATACCCCAAAGCTTCTCCACAACCTACAGCCAATGAAAAATCGCCTTGAGTAACAAATCCAATAATAAGTCTGGAACAATGTGAGGTCAGATTTTGCAATGGTTCAGGCCATAATCCTTGAATTAAATGGGGTCCGGAGTCAGAATCTGATTTGGTCTCCAAATTTCCAGCGGCACTTTCCACGTTTTTTGGATTCATTTTCTGTTTCTTCTTTAGCCTTTTGCATCTCTGTTTGAAGGGATCGCTGTGCTTTGGCTCCTGGGGACCACAAAAATGAGGGTCCGAGATCTGAAGTTTGAGATCCTCTTCTGAAGGAATACAAATGGTGGCATTGGTGACGGGGCTGCCTTTTTTCAGTAGAGACACTCTGATCCAGATCAGCAATCGAGGGTGAGATAAGTTGATGGACTTCACGGCGTCTTGAGTCATCTCCACATAGGCTGAACTCCTACACAGACGATGAGTCCGCTGATTTCGGCTGGATGTAGGTCGACACCAAGCAGACACCTGCCTCCGCAGCTTCCTATTCCTGCAAAACAAGCAAGTTCACTTTCAAAAGGAGCCAACTCTCAAGTGATCAAGATAAATTAATGGTTAAGTACTGAATAATAATAATCCTTGCATTTGATATAGCACTTTTTCACATCTTCTAGACGTCTCAACAACAATTTACTCAAAAGTGCTTCATAGGAGGGATGAGGGGAAAAAAGGTAGCAAAACAGCAGCCCATAATATAAGTCTTAAGGTGGGTTTTGAAGGCAGAGAGACAGGGATGGAGGGCAAAGCAAAGAGACTCCAGGATGGAGTTCCAAGCTACAGCTATATCCTTGTGCACAAAGCGTCATTAACATGGGATACAAATCCCAGACTGGCCACCGCCTTGGGATATCCTCCCGATGTAAAAGGCACTATACAAATGTATCTGTCAATCGTAAAATCAATGATAATTTTTTTTTTAAATTAAGACAAGTTTTCTTACTCCCCACGCCTCTGTTTACCTAGCAGTAAGTAGGAACCTGTTATTAGTCAATTGGTGGAACGCTTTCCGGGGATAACAATCCCTCAAAAAAACTTGTGGTCACTCAATCCACGACTGTTTGTGCACAATTGGCTGCCGCATTTTGCCCACAAAATACACGATCAATCCACTTTACAATATATTCTGTGGAACGCTTTGAAACGTCTCAACCACATGATCAGGTGCTATTACTATTAGTATTAGTATTATTGCTATTGTTGGATTATTTATGCAGATTTACTGTGCTCATAGCATGGTGGTGTGCTTCACGTTCCACTGAGGGAATGTGCAGTCTTATTGATGTTGATGTACTAAACAAGACTTGCAGGACAAACTTGTTGTTCAGAGATATCTAACCTAACCAGTTTTTAAACCAGAAACATGAAGGTTGAGGTTCTATAAGTGGAGTCCTGTAGCTCAGTGGTTAGAGCACTCGCTTTGCAAGCGAGAGACCCGAGTTCAATTTCAGGCAGAGGGCGAGTTTCCTTACTCCACACACCTAATAATAATCCCTCCAAAAAACAAAACAACAATAAATTTGTCATTTTCAATCCACAACTGTTTGTGGGACACTGCTGTGTGCAATTGGCTACTTCGCCCACAAATATACAGTCAATTCACTTTACAGCATATTCTATGAAGCGCTTTGAGACGTCTAAAAGATGTAAAAAGTGCTATATCAAATGCAAAGATTATTATTATTATTATATCAAATACAAGGATTATTAAATCATTATACAAAATAAGTCATAGGCAGACCTGATTACATAAAAGTGACCACTTTCAAGTTCTGTGTTGCTCGCAATTTGAACATTTTCACTTTCTGACTTTGATGTCACATCAGTAATGTTTTCAGAATCAATGTCCATCATCTTCGCCACCTCTGAAGGATTTTCTTCCATTGACACTTTCTCTGTCAGCTCCTCTTCCTGTTTTCCAAGAAACTCCAAGGCCTGAACTTCAAGTCCCTGTTTCTGTGGTTTGACATCGTGATCTTCGCTCCGCATTTCCCATTCCTCCACAAGCAGCTGCCAAGGGCATCGGAATGGAGCCATGGTGCCAAAGAGGACATAATTGGGCCTTTTAGCTGGTGGGTATCTGCAGAGAAAGTTGGCTATGTTACCATCAATCTACACGTGGAGTCCTGTGGCCTGTTGGTTAGAGCGCTCGCCTCGCAAGCAAGAGGACCAGGGTTCAATTCCCAAGCAGGGCGAAACGTTGGCCAACTTTCCTTACTTCATACGCCTCTGTTTACCTGATTGTTTGTCGATTGGCAAATTGCTTTTCCAGGGGTAATAATTCCTTCCAAAATATAAAAAAAACTTGCTTGGCCTGATACTACAGATAGGGAGACAACCCAAAATTAAAAATAAGCAGAGCTATCTCTATATATTATAGTAAAGCCCTGATAAATGGCTTCACTTGACACTACCACTTAAATAATCATGCTGTCGAGATCCCAGACGCATTTCTTTATGTATTTATATATCTGCCTGACTAACCACTCCAGTGAACATCACTGAGTCCTTTTACCTTGGAGCCACCACTTATCAGGAACTGTATTCAAAGGAACGTAAAAGTATAATCCCAATATTTTTTCAGCAGCTATAAAACGCTAGTCTGAACTTTAATGTCGTATTTTGAACCACCCCCTCCCACTGCAACGAACTTTCACATTCCTGTTCTCATCAATTTCACAAAGAGAATTTGAGAGTGAGACTGGGAAATAAAAATAGGAGGCACAAGTTCTCAATGGATAAGACATAACATGCCTAAGGGGGAAGCTGAAAGAGACTGAAGGATGTTAACTGATTTTTTGCTCACCATGTCAAAATCATGTAAAGCATCATAAGTCAATTGAACTCAGAAATCAATCTCAAGCTGCACAGTGCTTTGATTAGGATACACCTGGAATATTACATACAATCCTGGTTGATGTGACGGAATAAGGCCACCAAGACCTAAAGGCAGTGTGAGCCAGAATATCAAAGCTCACCCCCCCTGTGACAATAGGGATGAGCTGTGAAAAGACCATTTAACCTTGACAAAAATATATCATAGCAGGCATCTTACAGAGGTAAATAAGATGCTTTATAAGTTAGTGTTCTTAAAAAAATGATATTAAAGCTTCAAAGTAAGCCTTAAATACATATCTTAACTGCAGAAGGAACACACGGCTACCCGCTGAGTCAATTGGGGCAGCAGAATGCTTAAGAATTCAGGGTCAAACTGGAAGATTGACCCCACCCTACAAAGACAGGCCTGGGTAGTCGCATGTTGAATGTAACGGAGACTTCACACAATGTAATATGTATAAGATTCACAAATGTGACTTTAAATTGTGGAGTCCTGCAGCAAGGTTAGAGCATTGGTTAGAGCACTCTCCTCGCAAGCGAGAGGGCCCAGGTTTGATTCCCAGGCAAGGTGAAATAAAAGACAAATTTTTTTTGAATAATAATTTGGTCACTCAATCGACCACTTTGTTTGTGGGCCACTACTATGCGTAATTAACTGCTGCATTTCACCACAAAAGATAGTCAATTCACTTTACAGTATGTTCTGTGAAGCGCTTTGAGATGTCTCAGAGATGTGATAAGGTGCTATATCAAATGCAAGGATTATTATTATGATGGCAATGAAGTGTTTAAATTGCTGTATGAAATGGAGACTTTTCCGCTTGTTTACCTCTTATATTTGGCTATTTTCTCCTTCTCACATTCTTTACTGTAGTGGATGCTTGCTGGGCAGTCAGGAAAATCATCTGGGAAGTGTGGCGTTCCCTTGGACTGAGAGTGTTTGATTCCTTCCTGCAAACCTCCTACTCGGGCACCTCTGTAGATCTGATAACAAAAAAAGTCAGCAGGAAATTGTGATGAAATTCTGCCAGGGTCAAAATGTTCCAACAAAATTGAAGTACAGTACATTCAGTTCTCTCGCTTATAAAATGCAATTTTAAACATCCTTTAACAATAGTAATAAAATATTTCTTGCAAATTATTTCCATTTAACAATGTAACAAAATTACACATTAGAGCGAAGCTTTAAAAGGAGTTTGTCCTAATCATAGTTTGCGTAAACATTAAACGCAGTTTGGTTGGTTGTAGAATTTAACAGCAATGGAATGCATTCCTCTAGAATGTAGAACAGTAAAAAAAACATTCACATCATTATTTGCAATCAATGACCATCTGTAAATTACTATGTGATTCAACTAGAATTGTGAATTCATTAAGAGATTGAGACTAGATGGATGAAAACATGTAGATTTTTAAGTTAGACCGTACTGCATATATTAATAGTTTACCAAAGGAATCCAGAAGGCCATCCCCCATCCTTTGGGAATCAAGATATCCCAACCGCTGCCCCAGCCTGGGAGCTCATCTCCAGCAAGCTTCCCTGGCTGCTGCACTAAGAGGAGAGGAATCTTGGATTCTTGTGGTCCCAGATCCAGCTGAGTTCCAGGCACCAGGAGTTTGCTTCGCAACCGGTTCAGCTCCTGGAATGCAACGTACAAAATGTTATCGGCAATACTCATCAGCCAGGCTCACTCAGTGGCACTCTTGCCTTTGAGTCAGAAGGTCATAGTTTCAAACCTATGCAATGCCCAAGTCTAAGCAAATGCATATTCTTCAAGGAGAGGGATTGGGAAGGAGGAGAAAATTCCAGAAAAACATTTCTAATACAATTGCTTTAGTTTATTTTTACCTGTTCAGAGATTTTAGTTTGAGTAACACCACTGCGGATATCGTGGTCCCAGAGGAGACTCTGAGCACATTCTGGACCAACTCCTTTCAAACACAGTTCCCTTATTTGTTCCACAGCTGTAACGTAAGAGAAGCATATTACACAAGAAATATGCACCAATTATAATGCAGGATATTTAAGCTGCTCCTAAAACTCTTGTACTTGTACCAATATACTGTACTACAAGATCCTCACTCTCTCAAATCTCTTCACGCACCTCCCTACCTGGCACCTCTCTATCTCTCCGATCTGTTCACCCTCACTTCTCTACCCACCACCTCTGCTCAGCTGGCTTGGGTCTTCCGTACATCCCTTGTTACCTCCGCTCCACAAATGGTGGCTGTGCTATCAGCTATGCCCCAAATCGTTGCAACTCCTTCACTCCGCCTTGCCCCCTTTGCCCATCTTCATATCATACTTGAAGACTTTCCCCATTGACTGGGCCTTCGGTCACCTCCACTCCTTTTCCAACTCAGTGTCAAGCCACGCCACTATTAAGCGCTCCAAGAAGCTACCCATGTAAAGGATACTATATAAATGCAAGTTGTTGTTGTTGATGATGAGTGACAAAAAACTATAATAAATAGGTCGCCAGAGCATCATCTTCATAGTAACACTCCTTCCTAAACAACAACAAATGATATTTATATTGTGCTTTTCACGCAGGAAGAATGTCCCAATGCGACCAATGCAAATATAAGTAGCATTTCTCCCTGGATTGCAAATCTGAATTCTAATAAAGCAACATACCATTTCCTAACAGCTGCTTTGATCAAATCCACCTGTTTGGGATTTTACAATTCTTTATTCAAACCAGTCAGGCAATTTATTCCCCAATACCTTGATTTTTTTAAAAGAAAAAAGGAAAATAGATTTTTAAGCCATTAAATGCTGTAATTGAAAGCAATAAGAGAATGAGTGGAGGCAGTTTTTCAGTTTGAAAGAAACTATGAATTTGTCCAAATTATTTCAATGTGATTGCAGTTTTTTTTAATATAAATAATTTTCAGCAAAAATCAAATCCAGACATTGGTTCAACTCTCTGAAGCAAAACGTGATTCAATTCAAGTCGAAAGTCTGGATGTTGTGCGGCTTCATTCAGTGAAACTGAGTCCTAAAATGTGAAATACATTATTAATAATTGCACAATAGGTTAATTTTCACACAATTGACAATAATTTGCTAAAGCTAACAGAAGGTTAGTGGAGTTTTTCTTACTCTCATATTTTAACAAAAGTTGATCTTTCAACCCATTTACATTTTATTTTTTTCTTTGATATTTTTATTTATACAGCATGCCTCAAGGGATTTTAAGGGGTCTTACCTTGAGAGCTTACTGCTACAGAAAGTTTGAAAAACTAACTTGAATGTATCTGAAGTTGATGAACTTTGGGTTAATGACTGCAGTAAACTTCTGATAACTTGACCCTAGTTTAACTTGTCAATATCACTTAAGTCATCATGTTATCAATATCTTGGCTGCATTTGTTTATGTATTTATACATATGCCTAACTCAACATTCTGGATAGCTCATTACTAAGTCCTTTTCCCTTGGAGTGACGAGTTATCAGGAGTTTACTGTATATGAAACTCTCACTCTGGGTTTTGATACGCTTAAGTGTTGTGCTGGATTTCTACGTGTGTCAGCTGACCCCCAAAAAGCATAAAAAAGCATGTTTTCACTGAATACCAGTTTTGCTCACTACAGATATGCTCACATGAAAAGGTTCCTATTTCACTTTCCAATCAGAACCAGTTTTCTATGTGGAAAAATAACAGAAAAAGCCTCCAATGTCTTGAATTTGGGGTTCATCTTTGGGCACTTTGCTGGCTTTTAATATAAATGTTTTGTACAGTAATTTTTATTGAGCTAAAGGACTTATGGGAAGGCTAAAATACCATAATTAGAATACTAGTTGATGTGGCAATATATTTCTGCCCTGCCTGAAAATTAGTGCTTGGTATTAAACAGAGCATTAGCTACAAGCAATAAGCTGAGACACATGAACATTTCTACTATCTGTTTAGAGCTATACAACAAGACAATCTCCATAAAGCTAACACCTGCTTTGTTGCAAATATCATTGAGCACCAGTTGGCCTCGCCAGGATTCAAACCTGGATCATCTGCATGTATAAGCAGAGGCTCTCACTGAGCACAAGACCATATTGTGCCTGAATATTTGCTTTTAGTAAAATCTGTATGACATAAATCAACTACAGCTCTAAACAGAAATAGCAGAATAACCGTTCACATAATCTAATACAGCGCTGTAATGCACTTCAGCAATGCTGCCTATGCTGGAAATATATTTTGTCATGAAATCAGCCATTAAAAACATGGTTTTCCATCGCTACCAGCTCTGCTATATCACCCTTCAACCTATCAATGTCACAACAGCCTGTATAATGAGTACAATATCTAAAATATGCTGTGTATGGCTGTGGTGTGGAAGGTTAGGAAAGGAGAGATAAAAGAGTATACAATTGGTTGCAAGCAGACACACTAGGTCTATGAATTTAAAGCATTATTAGTGCCACTATAACTGGCTCATGAGCAAGACTTGCCTCAACTTTTGCTGCTCAACATACAAGACCTATATACAACTGGTATATTATGCAATTTAAAAAACATATATTGCCTCCCCTACACTCTCCCTTCTGAAGGAACTGACTTATATTTGACGTATCAATCATCAGGCACAGAGTCATCTTCCACATATTATAAAGTGACCTGTCTTCATGTATAAGGTACATGGAAAGCACCCAAGGACAATACAACCATGTAATTCTCAACCAACAGCGAGAAATACTTGCCTCTGGCAGGAGCCACTGAGGCCACCAGATGGCAATGTGGAGAACTATATGCAGTGTTATACTGAACCTGTTCAATTCTGTGCCACATTGCAATGCCCTATTTATCTTCTAGACCACTTCATATCCTTCAAAGGGAACATGCGAGCGGCAGAGTTCTGAATGAGCTGAATCTTTTGAATGATGGAGCTGGGGAGACCGGCGACGAGTGCGTTGGAGTAATCCAAGCGGGAGATGACAAAATACATGCACGAGGGTTTCGGCTGCATTTGAGGTAAGGTACGGTCAGAGGTGGGCAATGTGGCAGACGTGGAAGAAGGGGGTCTTGGTCAGGGAACAGATGTGGGGGAGGAAGGACAGCTGGGTGTCGAACCTGACGTGTAGATTGCACACAGGTTTGTGAGTCTGAGGGAGAGCCCAGGGAGGTTGAGGAGTTTAGATCCACAGGAGTGAAGATGTGGATGGGAGCCAAGGAGTATGGCTTCCGTTTTGTCCATTCAGCTGCAGGAAGTTTACACTCATCCAGGCCTTGATGTCTGCCAGAAAAGCTGATAGAACATCAGCGGACCTGGAGTTGGTACTGAAGGAGGGAAAGTAGATTTGTGTGTCATCCTCATACGTGTGGAAGTTTACCCTGTGTCTGGGGATGACATCGTCCAGAGGGAGCATATAGATTAGGAAAAGTAGAGGGCCAAGGATGGAGCCCTGGGGTACCCTGCAGGTGACTGAGTGAGAGCGGAAAGAGAAACCATTTGCTGAGATGAAATGGAGGCGTATATTACAAATAATATAAAAATTAATTTTAAAAAAGGGAATATTTTACCCACAAAAATACAATTAATTCCTTTACGGTATATCCTTTGAGACGTTTCAAAGGCGTGATAAGGTTCTACATCAAATGCAAGGATTATTATTATTAATACTACAATTATTAATACGCATTTTGTTTAGAAATAATTGCTAAATAATGTACTCAGGATTACTGTGATTTTGAACAGGGGAAGACAGCAAATATTGAAATTCTAACATGATCTGTTGAAATATTTCTACATTCCTGAAGCGGAGGGTGCTCGGGACTAGCAGGAGGCTGGTGCCACTCGAGCGGAGGTGCTGGATGGTGGACAAGGGAGTGAGGAGGCTGGAGAGGTAGGGAGGTACCAGGGAGTGAATAGAACAAGTTACCATCGGTTCAAAGCACCAGAATCTTTCATATTACAGCTCAAGACTAGACGATGAGGGAAATACTACCTTCAGACTGTGAAGGATCTGGTCTGGCTGTAGTTTTGTTTTGAGGCAACTTTAGACGAGGATCACCTACTGTAAGCCCAAGCACAGTGCCTGCTGGGATTTCTGCTGGTGAACTAATACCTTGAAAATAAAAAAAATTGAAGGTTAGCACCTAGATACATTTTTATAGTTTAGCACATTTCACTGCTATTCACCTATACAGTAGTAATGGAAAAGGTAATCCATCAGTAAGTCAAAATCAGTCAGCGGATAAGAATCATACCTGGACACACAGTTGAAACTTCATTTTAATATCTCATCTGATGGATGGAACCTCCAATATGCAGCACCGCACTAGATGAGTTACCAGACCCAATGTTGGGCTTCAAACCTGCAACCTTCTGACTCACCAAGGCGAGAGTGCTACCAACTGAGGCAGTGTGACACATATTAAACTGCAGCCCAACAACTCGAACATTGTGTGTTTAGTTCAGATTCCAACTCATTTATTTTAAGATGTTAATATAATAACAAATAAATAATAATCCTTCCATTTAATATAGCGCCTTATCACGTCTTCGAGACTCCTCAAAGCGCTTCACAGAATATACTGTAAAGTGAATTGACCATATATTTGGGGGGTCAAATATTAGTGCAAGGAAGGACATAGACCATTGAAAAGCCAAGTGGAATTATATTTCACAATAAATAATGCAAATTCACAGACTCGGTATTGATTCTGAATCAGGTGGATGAAATTTTAAACATTTACTTCTGTCCGGTTGTTAGTGACTTGGAGGATCATTTTCTGGGGGTAATAATCCCTCAAAAAAAATGTAGTGACTCAATCCACGATTCTTTGTGGGACACTGCTGTGAACAAATGACTGCCACCTTTACCCATAAAATACAATCAATTCTCTTTACAATATATTCTTTGAAGCGCTTTCAGATGTCTCATTCACATGATAAGGCGCTATATCAAATGCAAGGATTATTATCCAGATTTATATTGCTTAGCACCTACCAGGCAGTAATGGAAGAATAGCTCCCTGACGACCATGAAGAGCTACATTTTCAGGGTTCCTGCAATACTCCGACCAGTACTTTGCCCTAATTTCTTCTGTTTCTTCAGATGCCTAGTTAGATTTAAGAAGAAATGTATACATATGAGTGAACAAAAGGGAAATGTTTCTTTTTGCTAGTAATATAACTGCATGTATAAATTCTAACAATGTGTCCGTACGTCACAAAACAAAACGACTCAAAGCAAAGACTCACATTTGCAACAGCGGCGGCTTGTAATGCTTCAAATAACACACAGTGGGACAGAGGGCCAATCAGACGATACCTTAATATTTCCATCGTTAGATCCCTAAAGTAAAGACCCCGCAGTTTGGAATTAAAATACAGTAGTTGTGCATAATAATTTGTTTATCCACCAAAATATTTCTTTTTAAAGTTAAATTTTTACTCACTGTATTACAATGCCAGTAGTTAATGATCTCCAAGAGACTGGTTTCGATGGATCTCTCGTTCCGTCACCTAAAATTATTTTCTCAGGCACAGCTCCATCTCCAGCTTTATCTTCACGTTTTCTTTTCAAGCCAACTATCTCTGGATCCTTTGCTGCTACCTCTACTTCAGCTTTACGTTCACTAGAAACTGGTTCAGGCACAGGGATATCCAAACACTGACAGGCCAATTGAAGTTCGGTTAATACATCCTGAAAGAAAAAAAGAACACGACTATAAATATTACTGTCAATTGTCCGCAGTTATACTCAGGTACAAATGTAGCTGGCTAGTGAGGCACTGATCATCATGCAAGGCGTTTCATATACAGCACAAGTCTTTATGTGGTTGACAAGTATAATGTTGAGCACTGAGCAGGTAAGATTTGAGCAGGATGTTAACCAAACACAAGGCCCAAATGAAATAATTTTCAGAGGATTTTGAGAGAGGAAGCAAAGAAAGGTGAATTGATGTGTTTTACAAGATTATGGAAAAGCACACAATTGAATAGGAAAAGTAGTAAATGGCGACGAGGATAGAAGACTGCAAGTGGACATAGACAGACTGGTGAAATGGGCAGACACATGGCAGATAAAATTTAATGCGGAGACTGGTTTCGATGCTAAATGACCAATATTGAAAACTGAAAATACTGTTGCCCAGTAGATGAAGTCAATCAAATTTACAATAAAGATTAAAAATACAATGCAAATTTGTACTTGTTATTACACTGCATGTGGGTATGTTTTGTATCTGTATACTTGTGGGTTTAGAGGAATCAGGCTAAATTAGATGTTCCACTCATTATTGCAATAATAATTCAATTGTTGTGTTTCTATGAGCTTTTTTTGTAATTTGCTGTCATTTGTTAAAATCATCCTGTTAATAAACAATACAAAGTCCAAGCTGAGCATGCGTTGTGTAAAGTAAAAGCCAGTTACCATTTTAAGGGCTGGATGAGTCCAGATCCAGAGCTGTCGGTTTCCAGATTGGCCTTCACACTGTGTGACAGGTCTCCATAGGAATGTGATTGGACCCAATGGCTGTTTTGGATACTGGTTTGCTTTGTAAAGGACCAATGAACCTTGACATTTCCCAGATAGGCAAGCCACAGCGGCAAACGTTGTACCTGCAATAACATAATAGTTCTTGCATTTAGCATAGCGCCTTTTTACAGTTTACGGAATATACTGTAAAGTGGTGTGACTGTATGGATTTGTGGGCAGTTCCACAGAAATCGACAGCTCATCACTCTTTAACGGCAATAAATTTGCCACAAACATATTTTAAGTACAACGGAGAACTAGACACAAAGTCTTGGCTATTTCACCATTTTCAAAAACAATTGATGAGCATATGCCTTTATTACTATTATAAGAACATTTTAAAAACAGATTATTAAGGCAAAAACATTGATATTTAAATGAGAACCAGAAATGTACTCATCACAAAAGAATACACTTATACCCTGGCTAGTCGGACTAATTGGGGGGAGATCCAGTCCGACGAGCTGGAATTTGAATGAAATAGTAATACTGTACTTACATTTGATATTGTACCTTTTATGGTAAGACATCTCAAAGGATTTACTGTGAAGTGCGATGATTGTGCATTTTGTAGGAAAACATAACAACCACAAATGGCCATGAAGTGAATATCCAATGTTATCTGTTGGTTAGTTGGCTAAGACACGGGGAGAAACTCGCTTCTCTTTTCAAACAGTGCCATCAATAGGGATCTTCACTGTCCATCTGAACAGGCAGCCAGGACTTAGGTTTAAAGTATTATACGAAAGATAAGTGCTTTGGGACACTACCCAGAGTGAAGGGTTCTAATATAAATGCAAATTGTTGTTGTTGACAGCACTTCCAACAATGTAGCACCTCCTCAGCACTACACTGGAGTGGTAGCCTAGACTATGAGCTCAAGTCCCAGACCTGGTCCTTGAACCCACAACCTTCTCACTCAGAGGCGATAGTAGTACCAACTGAGCCAGGCTGATATGTGACCCTAAGTCAAGTTTTGGATTGAGTATTTGATGGTGGGTAATAGAAATTCATACAGAAACTATATTAATTCATGGTTATTAGAAAATTCTTTACATATGCCATCAGAGTTCTAATCATACGACATTACCCTGATTTATATAATTATTTCTCTCAATATGACAAACCAAATAAACCTTTCCGAAGGGAAGTGAGAAAAGAAACCCAACAAGAAAAATTTCAAGATGTTGTATTTTTATAGCTTACAGAAGTAGACACTTTATAGCTTTTTTTTAATATAGCTTTTTAGGGTTTACTGAAAATTAGACACGGTTCTTGATTTTCTTTTAATAATAACAAACCTGCTTCTCTGCTAGTCAAAAGCATAAGTGCCTTCAGGAGTTCAGCCTCTGTCCCCATCAGCTCCAAACAGCAGTAGTAAGACAAATCCTAAGAATGAAACGCACAAAAATACTTTTAAGATTACAATGAAAATAATGCATTCCAAATTACAATAACAATTGAAAACTAAGTCGATCAGATTTCTGTTTAAATTATTTCCTAGAGCAACGACTTTCATGTTGCTAAGATTAAGTGTACAGAGATTGCATAAAAAGACTAAAACAATACTGAACAAGAATTGCTAAATTATTTACCAGAACAATGTTTTTTTTTACAAAGCTTAGTGTTTGACAATGTACTGGTAAAAAAAAATAGCCCTCTGTTTGCCTTGTGATTATGAACAGAATTCTTTTCAGTGGGTTTGATTATACTATCTGACAAATTTTGAAATAAGGGTTAATAATTTGAGTGAGTCTCAGACAACCAAATAGAATGGAGAAAATGACAGGAAACAAGTTGCAAATGCAGTTTGTCGTATGTATATAAATTTAAAGATTGAGCTGAACAAGGCTGTTCTTCATAAACCCATCACAAAATGGTGTGTTCATGTATTGAGTTCACTGTAAACACCATCTATAATAATGCTTCCAAATTTAAAACCACCTACACTAATTGTTCCAAATTTAAAAAGCTGTAGGAGCTTAAAACACCCACTGCTACCTGTTATTCCAGGACAAAATAATTGCACTTTGAGTCCATTGTGCTGATACAACACAACTGTTAGATATATCCCATTAGTACAAGGAAGCAAAAAAGTAATACTTCATAGTGCACAATATTTGAATTATCAAAACTATTCAGTGAAGAGGCTGAACAGTTGTAAATCACATACTGTCAGAAACTAGTACAACAGTGGAGGGAACCTTTGCTTTGATGTAATCCTTCTCCTCACCTGTGAAAAGTTTTGGAGGGGGAAGGGGTGGATAATAATAATAATAAATAATAATATGTTGAAATCCAGGAAGTAGGGGAAAGTTAAAGAATTTTATAAAGTAACAGATATGTGTGGATATGTGTGGAGTCCTGTAGCTCAGTGATTAGAGCACTCGCCTTGCAAGCGAGACACCTGGGTTCAATCCCAGGCAGGGCGAAACTTTGGGCAAGTTTCCTTATTCCAAAACTTAATATCTCCAAAAACAAAAAACAATAATAAATTGGTCATTTTCAATCCACGACTGTTTGTGGGACACTGCTGTGCGCAATTGGCTGTCGCTTTTCGCCCACAAATATAGGGTCAATTCACTTTACAGCATATTCTGTGAAGCGCTTTGAGACGTCTAGAAGACGTGAAAAGTGCTATACCAAATGCAAGGATTTATTATTAGATGTGGAATGAAGGCAACTAAAGATATATATATATTGAAAACACATATATATATTTTTCAACACCCAAATGCAGATGCACCACACCCTCAAACCTTCATTTATTCCTTAAGCGATGCAACCCTGTTCTGTTTTAGGGAATGTAGTCTATGCTTACCTGCAGAAGGCACTGTTTTATCATAGCACGGTAACAAGCTCTGTAACTTTTAGCAGTCGGTTTATCGCCTAGACAGTATCCCCATTTCTTCACCACATGGAATCTTTTTGCATGCCATATGTGAGTCTCTAGCCAAATGTTCTTTCTTTGCCTTCGGTTAAATTCCTGCATTAAGTTGGCATGTCTCCGGCGAGCCTTGCGAGATTTGCTTTTTGATTGTTCCTTTCTCAGATGAGCAACCTTTTCGACCTGCAGAAAAATAAGTTTGCTCACTCAGGTGTTCAGCCAAGGCTTTTTCCAAAAACATTTTTCAACTTTTTTGTTATGTTCTCTATTCTATCCTCAACTAAAATCATTTATTTAGCATATTTCATGTAAAAGAAATGTCTCAAAGCACTTTACAGAATGAATTAATTATAAATGAGGTTAATGTTATTTAGAACACAGCTAATTTCCAACAGCAATGTCTGCCAAAGAACAAAATGGAAGATAATTGTTTGGGACAACTTGCCACTACAATCCTAATGTGTTTTACTTCTATATCAGCCATTAACAAATTCTCTGAAACTAAAAGTGGCAGCAACTTGGTCTCAACTGAAGGGCAGCACCTCCAACAATACAGCATTCCCCCCTAGTATTGCATTGAAGTGTCAGTTTAAACTATGATCTGCCACGCCAAGGCCTAGATTTCCCACTCAGCTCTTGTTAACCCTGCAAATCAAAGCCTATAACAGAGTGAGTGATTCTAGCTTGACAAGCAGTAGGAAGGCTGCCAAGCATTTCTCTCAAAATTGCATGCTAATTTAGCTGAATAAACTCCAGAAGTATCCCAGCACACATAGTATCCCCTAGTATTTCCCTTTGCCACCCTGCACCTAATACTCTCTGGAATTACACAAGGTGGATACATCTCTCCAGGAAGAGTGTGGCATTCTAATCCAGAAACAAGGACATTTCTATAAATAGGTTACATACATATGTAGAACTCGAGTCTGGGCTGAATACTCTTACGTTTGGTATTGGGATTCCACATATGTCAGACACCCAGTTGATCAAAAAAAACGATCATTTTATTTCCAACAGCTTTACCTCCTTCTTGGCAAATTCTCGAAGCCTTCGTGGGAGACGTTTGATCTTTTGACTCATGGCTCTTCTCCGCATCTGCGATGGCAGGGACTGCAGAAACTGAGAACTGGAGGATTTGTGAGCGACTGCTTTTAACATGACACTGATTTCTGCAGCACGGGCATAAGCAAATCCTGTCGCTGTAATTTAAAATTGTAAACGTTAAGAAATGAAGTTGGACTTATACTTACCAGCAAAATATTTTTAAAATTATTCTTTCGAAATATTTTTCAATTTTCTACCTTGCTTTCCTGCTATCAACTTTCTGTCTTTGCACTCTTTTTTAACTGGGCAATACTTTGGGTGATAATACCATTTTTTTAAATTACCTCATCAAATCATCCCTTAATCGTATCTGCTCTTAAAGGAAAAAAAGTTTACCCAGCCTCATATTGTCAATCAAGTCTCTATGGGAGAGGGATGACATTTTCTCTTATATTTTCTAGTTTTTCATCAACAATATTACTTTGCCTGTGCAGAACTGCATGAACACAAAAGGAGTGTTCCCATTAAAATGTTTTTCACACCACCTGAATTTTACAGGAAGTGAGAAAAATTCAAAGGAAAGAAAGCAATGAAATGTTATGCACATTACCGAATGCAACATCAAAAGAGGAACATAAATGTTGTATTTATTCTCTAGCATTACTGTTCTACAAGCGCTCTGTGTTCTGCTGATATATTGCATACTGGTAACGCTCAAGTTTCAAGGATGAAATTCTGATTTACCCTGTATTCAGGAGGTTGTAAACATTTCAAAAATGCTTTACCTAAATTAAGATTGCAACTACGTCAAATCATCATAGAAGAATATTCTTACAGAGAGGATGTTTATTAAAATATATTTTGCACACAAATGACTTGAAAAGTAGTTTGGAGATAAGTATATTTGAGCATCTTAGAATGAAGTCAGCAAAACAGTTGTAAAAGCCTGGCAAAAACTTTCACAGTTCATTGCAGCTGTACAGAAAGGATATTTGGTAGATATCTCTCACTGGAAACAAAACTAAATAAAATAATCATTGCATTTGATACAGTGCTTTTCATGTCAGAATGACATCTCAAAATGCTTCACACTGTTTACTGTGAAGTGTAGTGACTGTATATTTTGAGGGTAAACACAGCAACAAATTTGAGCATATTATTAAGCTCTGTGTGGAGTAAGGAAACTTGCCCAAGGTTTCGCCCTCTGCCTGGAATTGAACTCAGGTCTCTCACTTGCAAAGCGAGTGCTCTAACCACTGAGCTACAGGACTCCACAATCACGTTTTCAAGACATCTCAAAGCGCTTCACAGAATATATTGTAAAGTGAATTGACTGTATATTTTGTGGGCGAAACGTGGATTTATTATTAGATGTGGAATGAAGGCAACTAAAGATATATATATATTGAAAACACATATATATATTTTTCAACACCCAAATGCAGATGCACCACACCCTCAAACCTTCATTTATTCCTTAAGCGATGCAACCAATAAAACTGGTCACTTACTCCATGGCTGTTTGTGGGACATTGCTGTGCACAACTGGCTGCCACGTTTCACCCTCAAAATAAACAGTCACTGCACTTTACTGTACATCCTGTGAAGCACTTTGAGACGTCCTTCGGAAGTGAAAAGGAGCAATAACAAATGCAAAGATTATGACCCCCTCCCCGACAAAGTAGTGCTCCCCTAGCAGTTGAACATCGCCAACGAGGTAAGCCACTGAGACAGAACGTCATCTGTTTCATTGACAAAAACAAATGACTTGGATGTCACCGTATAGCAGTGATAACTCTACCATCATTTATAGACCGTAGCGATGAGTGTATTTATAATAATAATAAAATCTTTGCAAAGCATTTCACAGAATAGACTAAAATGAATTGACTGTATATTTTGTGGACGAAACGCGGCAGCCAATTGCGCACAGCAGTGTCCCATAAACAGATGTAGATTGAGTGACTGATTTGTTTTAAGTTAAAAAAAATTAAATTACCATGAGGCAAAGTAACACTGATCTTTTGGATACATTTGCCATGCAACATGGAGCTTGAACCCACAACCTTCCTGACTCCGAGGGGAAGAGTTCTCCCAACTGAGCCAGGCTGAAACCCAGATTATAAAAATACTGAACTGTTTAAAGACACATTAAAGCACAGAAACACCTGGGCCCATCTGAATAATTGACTGAACTTTCACATTTGTTGCCAGGGCGGTCGAGTGGAGATCGAAGCGGTGGCTGTTCTGGGACCTATTGTTGATAGCCCCATGGACAATAAGCTATAAATTGGTGTTGGACGCTGTTGGTGATGATGAGAAGCCAGTGACTAAGATTACACTACACCATTGTTGGTTTTACTTTCCTCTATCTTCTAAGTGACGATTAATTATTTTGAATTCAAAAACTGCGATTCCAGATCAATTAGGAGATAGAATCATCATTGTCCTCTGCTGGATTGATTGCTTCCTCGGTCTACTGTAACAAGAGCCATTGTTGTCAGTGTGTAACTGCCTGTGCCATGCACCTCACAATAAAAGTTTTTTTTCCAAATACAACTGATGTTCAGATACAAGGGTATTGAGGCATTGGAGAGAGTAGAGAACATCCAGGTGGCTGACGTGTCACAAGATGTCCTGTGAAGGTCCTCCCACCACACTGAAGGCAGGTGTACATCAAACATTGATGAGGAGACTTACTTGCGAATTAGCACTTGAGTGTTTGAACAGAGAACAACAACAACAAGATTCCATTTATAGAGCGCCTTTCACGTCGGGAGGACGTCCCAAGGCGCTGTTCAGTTGGGTCAGGACCCGAGCAGGGGGGAAATGGTCAGGGGGAGGGAAGGGAGGGAGCGAGGAGGGGGAAATGGTCAGGGGGGGGAAGGGAGGGAGCGAAGAGGGGGTAGAGAGTCGAGAGGGGAGCTGAAGGCACGGTTGAAGAGAAAGGTCTTGAGACCGGCCTTGAAGGAGGAAAGGGAGGAAGCAGTGAAGGCATTGGGGGATGGAGTCCAGAGCTTAGTGCTGAAAGCCCGGCCGCCGATGGTAGGGTGGTTGGGGCGGGGGATGTGGAGCAGACCGGAGCCAGAGGAACGGAGGGTATGGGCAGGTATGTGGGGGGATAGTAGGTCGGATTTATATGACGTCACGTCTATACCTCATGGGGGCTACTGAATGCAGACACATTTGTTTTGTTGCTGTGTGCTTCTATTTTGCAGCAAGAAATTCATTCAAACCGAACAGTACAGAATAATGTTAATTTTTATATGTGTAAATGTTTTTTTTCTCCCTCAAAACAAAATGAAATCCCTGTGCATTCTGGAGAAATCTCAGTGAACTGCATCTAAAGAAGGAACAAACTACACAAAGGAAGGGTATTCTTGAAAGCCGTTGTATATTTCAAATCCACCAGTATTTACATCTCCCGTAAATCAGAATACAAATGTTAATTACCAAGGAGGTTCATTGCTAATGCAGTGACAGTAAAATGTTGCATATTTTTCCCCTTTTACATAATAAAATCCGCATGCTCATATCAGGATGCATTAGTCGTATTCCATAATTATCAGATATAACGTCACCCATTTCATGCTGAGCTATGTTGCCCACCGGGAAGCTTACAGGGAGTTCTTGGTACCTACCATCCACCTAGTCAGGACTCAAACACACCCTCATCGGCAGGACTTGGAAGGGCAGACCAGTCACGCGGGGCAGGGAATCCTCCCACTCAGCTCCTGTTAACCCTGCAAGCCAAAGCCCTAATGGGTAGAGTGGTCCTAGCTGGACAAGTAGTGAAAACATAACGTCCCATTATTTTCATTGTCGTTGGTCCCTCAATTTATAAAATCCGAGTTTATGGATTATTTGTTTCTATCATGACAATGCTTTAGGTATTCAAGGGAAAATCTTGGTGAAAACCATTGTGGAACCTCCTTAAACTGGACAGTTGGTCAGTATTGCAAGCTCCCTGGCAGTGCCTACAGTTTTAGTCCCAATAATAAAAGTTCACGTCCTCTAAAATGACATTACCATATTGTGCAATGTTATTCCCTTCCCCGTTTTATTCCAATTTTTTTTAAAAAATTATCATTTTATTAAATTTTCTGTCTGTTTGGGTGCACTCATATTTGGGCTGTAAGAACTGTGACACATTAGTTTCAATGATAATAATAATAATACGGTATCTAATAATAGTGAATTGACTGTATATTTTGTGGACGAAATGAATGTCCCACAAACAGTCGTGGATTGAGTGACCAAATTATTATTTTTTAAAGGATTATTACCCCCAGAAAATGATCTGTCAATCGACCAATAATCTGATTCCTACTTACTGCCAGGTAAACAGAGACGTGTGGAGTAAGGAAACTTGCTTAAGGTTTCACCCTGCCGGGAAATTGAAACCAGGTCCTCTCGCTTGCGAGGCGAGTGTTCTAACCAATATGCTACAGGACTCCAAACAATAGATTTTTGTTACACTTCCCAAGTAAATTTCAGCATTTCCTATGCTCCCCTATTTCTCTTTATATGGTGTGGTTTGATATGCATTATCTCACTGAAAAATAACCATTACAGTTTGCGGGTTTGTTTTTCTTCGGAAAGTAATTCTCCTGTTCACAAGGCTACAGTTCCGAGTTTGCGACTACATAGAAAAAGGCACTTTCCGAGTGTTAAGGTTTTTCTAAGGCGTAAGAAAACAGTGAATACGTAGTAGAAAAGAAACTTCTAGAAGTTACTCTCGTTCGCACACAGTGACAGCACCGGATACAGTGGCACAGGAAAACTGAAGCTGTCTGCCTGAATAGCTCCGAGATGCTATATAAATGCAAGTTGTTGTTGCAGGAATGTCTTGGCCATTGGAAGGTGTGTTGGAAACACCAAGAGGAGTTCTCATGAGAAGAGTGGATTCTCCGTCTTGCAGTCTCTGCTTCCTTAGAGTTTCTGCGCATTCAACAAATTTGTGTGGGGGGGGCGAGATTCGGGGGCAGTGAAATGTGCAGCATAAAAGCAACTAAACCGATCCAAGTGAGGGGATATACATCTCGGATTCAGGGAGATTGGGAGAGGGAGGGGGAAGAACAGGAGAACTCTTCCAAGATCGGATCGGTCCACGTTCGGTTCAATCTTCTTTGCTTTCTGCAGTCCGAGAGGGGAAAGTAAAAAGAAATCGGTTGATTGTTCAGTTTTAATCTACTGTGAGTGACAACAGTTCGAATTCACATTATAATAATAAATAATAATAATCCTTGCATTTGAAAAAGCGCCTGATCACATTGTCGAGACGTCTCACTGAATATATTGTAAAGTGGATTGACTGTATTTTGTGGGCAAAACGAGAGCCAATTCCACACAGGGTCCCACAAACGTCGTGCATTGAGTGACCATTTTTTTTTGAGGCATTATAAACCACGGATAGCAATACGCCAATCGACTAACAACCAGGTTCTTACTTAAACAGAGGTGCGTGGAGTAAGAAAACTTGCCTACGGTATTGACCCGCCCGGGAATCAAACCCAGGGCCTCTTGCTTGCGAGGCGAGCGTGCTAATCACTACACTACAGGACTCTACAATTAGAAGTTAGTCGCAAAATTGCAACTCAACGCGTACCTCTTTGTACTTTCTGTCATCTTTCCGCTCCCTATCCCTCCCAACAACCCAGCTCCAAACTCTGGGGCCCAGTCAGCGGTGTTGAGCATTTTGGGACATCCACCCAATGTGAAAGGTGCTATGTTAATGTAAATTTGCATTGTACATGTAGTGCCGTAGTCTGGCGATATTTCGGAGGTGATGGAAGGCGGTGCCAGTTGTGGCGCGGATATGAGGGAGAAAGGACAGCTCAGGGTCGAACAGAACACCGAGGTTCCTGATGGCTTTGAGAGGTGGAGAGTGCAGCCTTGGATGCTGATGCTGTTAGCGCCTGAGGTGCGGAGGCGCTGACGCGAGCCAATCAGGAGTATCATAGTATCAATTTAAGCATGCACTAATAGATCCATACATTTCTCTAGTCTAGTTCAATGGTACCTAGCAATAAACTACCTAGGAAAGTATTATTGCTGGAAATATCCAGGGGTAAAAATTCCTTCAAAAAAATAATAATAATAAATTGGACACTCAATCCACGGCTGTTTGTGGGACACTGCTGTGCGCAATTGGCCGCCGCATTTCGCCCACAAAATGTACAGTCGATTCCCTTTACAGTATATTCTGTGAAGCGCTTTGAGATGTCTCGTAGATGTGATAAGGTGCTAGATCATAAGAATATGTACGGGGCCCATTGATGTGTTTGAGAACAGAAAACGTACACTGGTATTTACTGAGTTATGACGACACTGCCAGATGGCGCTCCAACACACACAAGTTATCAATGGCAAGCTGTGCAGGTTTAGATAGTTAGACTCCAACACACTCTTGCCAACCTATGCCTAATACTTTACGTGGAATTAGGTAAGCAGGATGTGTCTCTCCAGGGAGAGAGAGCGCATCCCATTCCAACAATCTATCTCTTGGGATTTCCATGTGCAGGTGGGAGGCACAGGATTCTCCGTTTGGTTTGGATACTTTTAAGCATCATGATGGGTTTCCGCATGTGTCAGACACCCGGCTGACCAAAATAAAACACAGACAGGATCACAAGAAGCCCCTAACTGATATTTACCGGACCAAAGGGTCTGTCAAGTCATAATAATCATAATCCTTGCATTTGACGGAGTGCCTTTCACATCACTGAGTCGTCTCAAAGTGCTTCACAGAATATACAGTGAAGTGGATTGACTGTATTTTGCCGTCGAAACGCATAGGCAGCCACCTGTGCACATCAGTGTCCCACAAATAGCCATGGAGTGAGTGATTCCAAGCCCTGCCGTGGGGCTTGAACCCACAACCTCCTGACTCAGAGGCAAGAGTTCTACAGCACATTCGCCTGACTACTGTCCAGTGACCACCACCCCCACACCCGTTCAAATGAATGGTTGTAATAATAGTAATCCCTGCTAATTTGATACAGCTCCTTATCAGGTCTCAAAGGGCTTCACAATTTATACTGTAAAGTGAATTGACTGTATATTTTGTGGGCGAAACACGGCAGCCAATTGCGCACGGGGGTGCCCCAGGATACACTGTAAAGTGGAGTGACTGTGCGAAGAAATGCAAAGGATTATTAAAATGCAAGGATTAGTACTTCCAGGGTGACATTGCTCAGTCAGGTTCTGGCAAACAGAAAATACTTCTTCAAATTCACAATAGGCGATACAATCAAGAGCATTGGGGAGTTCTCTTCCAGGTGCTGGTACAAATATACATGGCTTGACTAATGCAGCACATCAATGTACAACAATGGGTACAGCGCAGGGAGTGAAGGGGACGGTGGTGGGGGAGAGAAAAACAATGAGGAACATGAGCTGTGCAGTAAAGATGCTTCATTCCATTCTGCTTGTCAGACCGTTGCCAGGGACGATGCTTAATCCTGGAGAAGTCAACAGTGCAAAGCCCACAGCTATGATAACGTACCTATCTCTGTCACCGCAAAGGCCACGGGGTCTTCTGTTTCCTCGTCTTTTGTTTCTGGCTGCTCAGCCACTGCTTCAACAGTTGTCTCACTTTCCACCTTTTCTCCTGTCTCACCTGGATACGGAAACCATGACATCGGACTCAAGTTAAAAATTTACACGACCTCTCGAAGCAGTTTCTGTTCTGAGCGCCCCTGAGGTCCTGCCCCCACCCCGGAACTCCGGAAATATAAATGACGCTCACAAAAATCCCTTCAATGGAAAAGCATTTTATCAACAACAACAACAACAAGATTCCATTTATAGAGCGCCTTTCACATCGGGAGGATGTCCCAAGGCGCTGAATAGTTGGGTCAGGACCCGAGCAGGGGGGAAATGGTGAGGGGAGGGAAGGGAGGGAGCGAGGAGGGGGTAGAGAGTCAAGAGGGGAGCTGAAGGCACCGTCAAAGACAAAGGTCTTGAGACCAGCCTTGAAGGAAGGAAGGAAAGGGAGGAAGCGGTGAAGGCACTGGGGAATAGAGTTCCAGAGCCTAGGGGCTGAGAGGCTGAAGGCCCGGCCACCGATGGTAGGGCGGTTGGGGTGGGGGATGTGGAGCAGACTGGAGCCAGAGGAACGGAGGATACGGGCAGGTAGGTAGGGGGATAGTAGATTAGAGAGGTAGGAGGGAGTGAGGCCGTGAATGGCCTTGTAGGTGAGGGTGAGGATCTTGAATTCGATCCTCTGGGGGATGGGGAGCCAGTGGAGGCGAGCGAGGGTGGGAGTGATGTGGTCGCGGTGTCTGGTGCGGGACAGTACACGAGCTGCAGAGTTCTGAATGACCTGCAGTGTGGAGGGAGGGCCGGGAAGGCCGGCGAGGAGAGAGTTCCCATAGTCCAGCCTTGAGGTGATAAAGGCGTGGACCAGAGTTTCAGCAGCGTGAGGGGTGAGGTAGTGTCGTAGTCTGGCGATGTTCCGGAGGTGATGGAAGGCGGTGCCAGTTGTGGCGCGGATATGAGGGAGAAAGGACAGCTCAGGGTCGAACAGAACACCGAGGTTCCTGACTGGCTTTGGGAGGTGGAGAGTGCTGATGCTATCAGCATCCAAGGCTGCACTCTCCACCTCTCAAACAAGGCAATCATCCTTGCATTTGACATAGCGCCTTATCACGTCGTTGAGACGTCTCAAAATGCTTCACAGAACAATGATGCTTCCATTTGATATAATGCCTTATCACATCTTCAAGACATGTCAAAGCGCTTCACAGAATATATGGTAAAGTGGGAAAGACGGTGTATTTCGTGGGCGAAATGTGGCAGGTATCGGGATCAATTAGTTTGGAGTGCAGAATTGACTGGGCTGTTACCTTATACACTGTACAACCCATAACATTTGATCAAGATTGAAATCCTTCAAAGGTCCTTAGTTTTCTGACCAGACAAGACAGTCCATCATGGACCTGAATTCTGAACGCAACGTATCTGGTACCTGCACTGGTTCTCCCGAGGCTGGTGTTAATACTCTGCTGGTTACAATCGATGGCCTGCTACAGACAGCTCACACCAAATCAAGTTTAATCCTTCATGCAAAGTATAGCCATTTAAGCAAGTGTATACTGTTACCTGTTCTATACAGTTACAGTTCACATCAGTTGATGTCGGACACTGACACCGGTGCCCTCTTAACCCAACAGTACCAAAGGGGGTGGAGGTGATGAAACCATGAGAGTAAATCGAGTAGATGTTTTTTCTTTCATCCACCACATGTGGAAACCCATTACCGTGCTTAAGATTATCCAAACCAAGCTGAGATTTCCACTCCTCCCACCTACACATGGAAATCCCAGAGATAGATGGTCGGAATGGAATGCGCTCTCTCTCCCAGGAGGGACACATCCTGTTTACCTAATTCTGGAAGAGACCACAAAGTGTGCGTTGGGGTAACAGCTAAAACCGTATAGTTTGCCATCAAAAACAAATAGGATCACCCTATCTATTAGGGCTTTGGCTTGTAGGTGTGTGTGTATAGCTTCTAAGGAATATTTTTTCTGGTCATATAACTTATGTGGAGTCCTGTAGCTCAGTGGTTAGAGCACTCGCTTTGCAAGCGAGAGACCTGAGTTCAATTCCAGGCAGAGGGCGAAACCTTGGGCAAGTTTCCTTACTCCACACACCTAATAATAATCCCTCCAAAAAAACAAAAACAATAATTAAATTGGTCATTTTCAATCTACAACTGTTTGTGGGACATTGCTGTGCGCAATTGGCTGCCGCGTTCGCCCACAAATATAGTCAATTCACTTTACAGTGTATTCTGTGAAGCGCTTTGGGACGTCCTCCTGACGTGAAAAGCGCTATATCAAATGCAAGGATTATTATTATTATTATTATTTTGTTGGTGTATTTACACCACAAGGTTAACCTGGGGCTTTTTTTTATACCGAAATAGTTCTACATCCTCGGGAAAGAATGAGTTAGTGCAGAAGCCAATGCAAAGAGCCATTTTACGGCTGACCAAAAAAAAAGGCGACTACATTGCAATAGCACAGTTTCTGCTCACAGCAATAAAGACTACTCCAATGCCCGCCTCACCAGTCTACCCAGAACCTATATCCACAAAATCTAGTTAATTAAAAACTCTGTCACCTGCATACTAACCTGACTAAATCCCTTGCCCCCATCACACCTGTTTTAGCCAGACTCCACTGGCTCCCTATCACCAAATGGATTGATTTCAAGATCCTCACGCCTAGTCTTCAAATCACTTCATGCCCTGGCACCTCCCTACCTCTCCGACCCGCGTACTCCCCAGCCCACTACCCGCTGCCTCCGCTCAACTGGCTACGGCCTCCTGCTTGTCCCTCGTGCCCTCCGTTCCACCATCAGTGGCCGCGCTTTCAACCAGTACGCCCCGAAACTCTGGTCTCAAAGTTCTTCCTCTTTGACTGTGCCTACGGTAAACCTCGCCCCCCCGCCCCCCCCCCCCCCCCAGCTTGGCATTATGCTCCATCATTGCCAAGCACTCTGGGACACTAACCTGCATGAGGGGCACGATATCAAAGCAAGTTGTAGTAGTGGGTTACCTTCAGTGAATTGCTCTGACTCGGAGGTTTGTATCTCTATGATGTCCTCTGTGCCTGGAGAGGCATCCTCCTCCAGTGATGCCACAGGAGTCACTGGTTCCACAGGTATCACCCCAGCAGGAAGAGATGTGACGGAGTCCTTGGTAACCCCCTGGCTGTCTTCTGATGGGCTTGGCTCATTGGTGACCACCTCGCCAGGAATCAAGACAGACTGTTTGGGGTTCAGTAGTAATACGGACTGGTCTGGCATTGATTCATTTTCGCCCACAGGTCCATTTATATCAGGGGCTGCTGATTTTTTCCATTTTTCCCATCGTTCGACATTTCCATTGAGGAAGAGAAGAGACAAAAATCACTTTTTTTCATCATTGTCAGTAAAGTTCTGAGTTACATTTTTCCCACACGTATCGAAATGTAATGATAATCCTCACATTATATTACATTTTAAATCCTCATATTATTATTAGATTTATTACATTTGGTCTAGCGATGTTTTCCTCGGTACAGGAGTTAAGACTTCTCAAATCAAGACTGAACAGGACAAAATGCAAAGTAAAACTTTCCCTACTTTTATTACCTACTCCACCACCCTTTTGTCAATTATCCTCACAAACTGGAGTCCCATAGGGTAGTGGTTAGAGCACTCCCCTCCTGAGCTGGGAGGACCTGGGTTTGATTCCAAGGCAGGGCGAACGTTGGGCAACTTTCCTTACTCCACATGCCTCTGTTTACCTAGCAGTAAGTAGGAACCCAGTTGTTAGTTGATTGACAATCGCTTTTCCAGGGCTAATAATCCCTAAAAAAAAATTCAATAATAATTTGGTCACTCGATCCATGACTGTTTGTGGGACAGTGCTGTGCACACTTTTCCTACAAAATACAGTCAATTCACTTTGTAGGATATTCTGTGAAGCACTTCGAGATGTCTCAATGATGTGATATATCAAACGCAATGATTATTATTAATATTATTATTATCATTAAGAGCCTGTAGTTATTAGGAATAGAAATTTTCACAAATGAATTCTTAGCTGCATTCAAACTGATGTTCTAGAGAGGCAATAGCCTCGGCTGCACCCATCAGCCTATAAACTACTTCACTTTTTGAACAAAACCTTAATAATTGCATTTGATATAGCACTTTTTAAGTTGGGACATCACAAAGTGCTGTACTGTGCATTCTGTAGATGACATTTCAGCCAATTTGTGCACAGCAATGTCCTATAAATAGTTATGAAGTGAGTGACCAATTTTATTTGAGGGATTAAGAAAAAAAGGGAGGATGGGGGTAGGAGGGTGGCTGAATGCACGGTCGAAGGGGAGGGTCTTGAGATGGGCTTTGAAGGAGGTAAGGGAGGGAGCAAGGCAAAGGGAATGTGATGAACTCTATCCTCTGAGGAATAAGGAGAAACTGTTTCCTCTGGTGGGTGGGTCGGTAACCAGAGGACACAGATTTAAGATAATTGTCATAAGAACCAGAGGGGAGATGAGGAGAATTTTTTTTCACACAGAGAGTTGTTACGATCTGGAATGCACTGCCTGAAAGGGTGATGGAAGCAGATTCAATAACAAATTTCAAAAAGGTATTGGATATATACTTCAAAAGAAAAAAATTGCAAGACTATGGAGAAAAATATCTCCTTCAAAGAGCCAGCACAGGCACGATGGGCCAAATGGCCTCGTTCTTTGCTGTAAGATTCTTTGATTCTATAAGAATTGCTGGCTTGGCGACTTGTAGTTTAATTTCACTGTAACTTGCGAGTGTCTCAGATATGCACAGGAGCTGGACGACAAGCTTAATAATATTCAGCTTTTTTTTCCTTTTTCTGCCTGGTTGCTGTTGTCAATAGCATGTCTGCATAAAGATAACAAAATAAACCACCCGTGGCTGCCTGTGATGGTTTATCAGCTCTTTCCGCTGGTTCACACAACACCCTTCTGACTCCACTGGTATTAACTTATTATACGTCCCCTCTCTTTGGGCTCCCAGGCTTTCTGAAGTGATTTAGTTCCGACCTAAATCAGAAATACAATAGGTTTTTAATACTACGGCAGATGACTTGATGACTTCAGCCCAACTCCAGCCACATTGCTGACAGATGTACTGTACACACAGACCGCTCCAATCTCACTGCTACGTGGCACTGCACCAAGTCATTTCCTTTTTCGTGGAGTCTCCTAGAGTATTGCTTAGAGCACTCGCCTCGCAAGCGAAAGGACCCGGGTAGGGCGAAACCTTAGGCAAGTTTCCTTACTCCACACGCCTCTGTTTACATAGAAGTAAGTAGGAACCCGGTTTTTAGTCGACTGGCGGATAGCTTTCCGGGGGTAATATTCATTTCAAAAGAAAACTTGGTGGGACACTGCTGTGTGCAGTTTGTTGCTGAGTTTTGCCCACAAAATAAATACAGTCAATTCCCTTTAGAATAAATTCTGTGAAGCTCTTTGAGATGTCTCAACAGCGTGATGAAGTGCTATATCAAATGCAAGGATTATTATTATTATTATTTTAACTTGTTTCCACCATGCCAAGGTTAAGTGACCTGTAGCTCAGTGGTTAGAGCATTTTCTTTGCAAGCGAGAGACCTGAGTTCAATTCCCGGCAGAGGGCGAAACCTTGGGCAAGTTTCCTTACTCCACACAGAGCCTAATAATAATCCCTCCAAAACCAAAAACAATAATAAATTGGTCATTTTCAATCTACGACTGTTTGTGGGACATTGCTGTGCGCAATTGGCTGCCGCTTTCGCCCACAAATATACAGTCAATTCACTTTACAGTGTGTTCTGTGAAGCGCTTTGGGACGTTCTCCCGACGTGAAAAGCGCTATATCAAATGCAAGGATTATTATTATTATTATTAAGTGGCTCTTTCTTGAGCTGTTAGCAAACCTTAAAATAAACCTGATCAGCTACTTTAGGATGCACCGAGACAGTAGAACAAGAGGTCACAGGTTTAGAGTTGCAAAGGGCAATTTCAGGACAGACAACAACAACTTGTATTCATACGCGGAGTCCTGTAGCTCAGTGGTTAGAGTGCTCGCGTCGCAAGCGAGAGACCTAGGTTCGATTCCCGGGAGGGCGAAATGTTGAGCAAGTTTCCCTATTCCACACGTCTCTGTTTACTTAGCAGTAAGTAGGAACCTGGTTGTTAGTCAATTGGCGGATCATTTTTCCGGGGGTAATAATTCCATAGATAATAGTAATAATTTGGACACTCCATCCATGACTGTTTGTGGGACGCTGCTGTGCGCAATTGGCTGCCGCGTTTCGCCCACAAAATATACAGTCACTTTACACTAAATTCTGTGAAGCGCTTTGAGACATCTCGAAGACGTGATAAGGCACTAAATCAAATGCAAGGATTATTATTATTTATTATACAGCATCCCTCACGTAGGGCAGCGTCCCAGAGCGCTTGACAGTGGCGGAGCACAACACCGAGCCGGGGGGGAAGGGCGAGGTGACTGTAGGCACGGTTGAAGAGGAAGGTCTTCAGGCACGACCTGAAAATGGAAAAGGAGGTGGCAAGGTGGAGGGATAGAGGGAGAGTGTTCCAGAGTCTCGGGGCACAGTGGCTGAAAGCGCGGCCACCAATGGTGGCACAAAGGGTACAAGGGGCAAGCAGGAGGCTGGAGCCAGACACCAGGAAGCCTTTAATACATCTGCTGAAAGTGATGCAGTATCAGTATTAATCTGCCAATTTATATTTAAGATACATTGTAAAAAATAATTATAACCCTAATCAGTTCTAGACCATCAGATCATTATGTACTGTTTGGCGGGACACTGTTGTGAGTCTTCAGTCACCCTCCTACCCCCACCCACCCGTCCTTCTACCCCTCTAGATCCCAACCCCCAGCTCGGGTGCAAATCCTTGACTGTACAGCACCTTGGGAAGTCCTCTTGACGTGAAAGGCGCAATACAAATGTAATTTGTTGTTATTATTGGTCTCACGGATACAGGGAGTTGCTCACGGAGAAGGATTCCTTCTTTGGTTTCAGGGCAGGTATAAATTCCTAACCACCGTGGCTTCATAAACTGGATAAAATCTGAATAATTCATCCAGTAACACAAGCGTTTAGGAATCCTCCTCGGTGAAATCGGATCCTCTTAACTGTGGCTGCAACAAGGCAATTCACGTCCCAAATTGGCCAGTGAATAATTCTCTGAACCCAGGTGTGTGTGTTCAAAGTGAAAATATTTACAAGATAAGATTCGAACATTCCCGCAAGTAGCAGGTTCTATTCTTAAAAAAAAACTTTGGTCACTCAATCCACGACTGTTTGTGGGACACTGCTGTGCACAATTGGCTGCCACATTTGCCCACAAATATACAGTCAATTCACTTTACAGAGTGTTCTGTGAAGCGCTTTGGGACGTCCTCCCGACGTGAAAAGCACTATATCAAATGCAAGGATTATTATTATTATCTCAACAATGTGATAAGGCGCCTTATCAAATGCAAGGATTATTAACATAAGAACATAAGAAATGCTAGATGAAAAAAGACCAAGGTCCATCTAGTTCGCCTTCCACCTTCCTGGCGGTCGCACATATGTCCCAAACTACCTATGTACCCCTTCAATTGCAGACCACGTCCTCTGGTTCTACTATTCTGGACAAGTTGAAACAGCCTGTCATGATCTATATTATCCTGTAGCTCAGTGGTTAGAGCACTCGCCTCGCAAGCGAGATACCTGGGTTCGATTCCCGGCAGGATCAAACCTTGTGCAAGTTTCCTTACTCCACACGCCTGATAATAATCCCTCAAAAACAAAAACAATAATAAATTGGTCACTTCAATCCATGACTGTTTGTGGGACACTGCTGGTGCAATTGACTGTCACGTTTCACCCACAAATATACAGTCAATTCACTTCACAGAATGTACTGTGAAGCGCTTTGAGATGTCTAGCCGACGTGAAAAGCACTATATCAAATGCAAGGAATATTATTTATTATTATTATTGTCCAGCCCCTTTAGAATCTTAAAGATAGCAATCAAGTCGCCTCTCAGTCTTCTCTTTTCCAGCGTGCACATGTCCAATTTATTTAGTCGCTCCTCATAGACCAGTCCTTCCATTCCCTCAATCATTTTGATTGCCCTCCTCTGTATTCACTTTACAGCATATTCTGTGAAGCGCTTTGAGATGTCTAGAGGCTGTGAAAAGCGCTATATCAAATGCAAGGATTATTATTATTATTATTATTATTATTATCTTCTTCTCGATTTCTCCCATATCCTTTTTGTACTGCGGTGACCAGAGCTGTACACAGTACTCTTAAGT